CTCCCCACGTTTCCCCTCCAGGCGTTCCTACTGCTCACGTCTGCAACGGAACTTACCAGGGCAAGCATGACACCACGTATGATCATGATCTGTTCCTTGGCATGCCCTATGCCCAACCTCCCGTAGGCCCCTTGCGTTTCTCTTCACCCAAGTCTCTTGATAAGGCCTGGAAGGGACCTCGAAATGCCACTGAGTTCGGATGGATGTGCATTGGTTACGGCTCTGATACCCAGAGCCTCGGTAACCCTGTCAATGAGGACTGCTTGACCATTAACATCGTACGACCTTCTGGTGTCAAGGCCGGAGATGAGCTCCCCGTTGGTCTCTGGGTTCATGGCGGCGTAAGTTCCCGTCTTATAAACTGAACGCTATATTATGACTAACAATATGACAGAGCTACACCAACGGCGGTTCCCGAGACCCTAGGTACAACCTGAGCTACATCGTTGATCAGTCCGTCAAGGAGGGCAAGCCCATCGTCGCTGCCTCCATCAACTACCGTGTATCGCAATGGGGATTCCTCTTCAGCGAGGAGATGCAGAAGGAGAATGCCGGTAATTTGGGCTTCAAGGATCAGCGCCTGGCTATGAGATGGCTGCAGGACAACGTCGCCGCCTTCGGTGGAAGCCCCGACAAGGTCACTATCTGGGGAGAGTCTGCTGGCGCTCGATCTCTGGGTATGCAGCTTGTGGCTTATGAGGGCCAGCATCAGAACCTCTTCCGTGCTGCTGTTCTCGAGTCTGGTAGCCCTGTTGCACTGTTCAATGAGGCCTCTGATTGGCAGGAGTACTACGATGCTCTTGTCAAGAAGACTGGATGCGACTCTGCCTCTGACAACCTCGAGTGTCTTCGTGGCCTTCCTTGGGAGACCCTCAACAATATCTTCAACAACACTACCCCTCTCGACGTCACTGCTCCTACTCTCACTGCTGTCATCGACGGTGACTTCATGACCGCCCAGGCCTCTAAGCTCCTCCTGGCTGGCAAGTTCGCTCACGTTCCTCTGCTCATGGGTAACAATTTCGATGAGGGTACTGCCTACGCCAAGAAGGGTATCAACACAACCGAGCAGTTCCAGTCCTGGCTTTCCAGCCTCGGCCTCAGCCAGACTCAGGTCACTACTGCGACTACTCTGTACCCTGATATCCCTGCTGAGGGTATCCCTGCATCTTTCATTGGCCGCCCTATCAACGAGTACGGCTCCCAGTGGAAGCGTGCCGCCGCCTTCGCTGGTGACTTCCAGCAGCACGCTGGAAGACGTCTCTTGGCTCAGGTCTACTCCGGCTCTTCCATTCCCGTCTTCTCCTACCTCTGGAACGTTTACGTCAATGGCCTTCCCGCCATCCTTGGAGCCACCCACTTCCAGGAGGTCGCTTTCGTCTTCAACAACGTCAAGGGTGTTGGCTACAAGCCCAGCCCCTTTGAAGGCAAGCCTGAGACTTTCGTTGAGCTGGCTGACCTCATGAGCAAGATGTGGGTTTCTTTCATGTATGACTTGACCCCCAATACCGTCAAGACTGCTCCCAGCCATGTTACCTGGCCCCAGTACACACTTGAAGAGCCTCTTAACATTGTCTTCGATGTCAACAAGACTGATCTCAGCTACACTGCTGTCGACAACGTCCGAAAGGAAGAGGTTGCTTTCCTCCTCGACAGTGTCTTTGCCTAAGTTCGTGACCAGCAGTCAACGCGTTGGCTAGCTGTAATGTATAATAGGGTGCCATTCCAACATCCTTTCTAAAGACGTGTCGGCCAGGTGGCCGAAGCCCTTTAACACTTCGTATATAGCTTTATCTTCCATTCGTATTAGCGAGCATCCAGCCATGACTTGAATAGATCAAAACATCATATGGTCACACAATATGCATCGTAATTTCCAATAGTTTCTCATTCTCTAGCAACTCATTCGCCCATTTTACCGTCGACATATTCTATCTACTGTCAACTGGACTCTACCATTTTCGCAAACACCTTGCCCCGGTAACCGCCAACAATCTACTCTCTTTTGGTGAAGACCAGCTGGCATTCGTCCTGATAGCATCAGAAGTTAGTGTATGTTGATGTAAAAAGGTTCCAAAGCATGCAATAAACTTACCTCAGGAAACAAAGTAGCGAACACTCTAATCTCTTCCGAACGGCTGGTTGCATGATGCACCCAGTCTAGTTCCAAAGAAGCCTTGCCAATCATGGCAGCCATAGTCAGCGGAACGTACCTGCGAGCCAGGCAATCGTGAGGACCAGCTCCAAAGACAAGCCAATTCTTTGTCTTGGACTCGGCATCACCCGTGATCCATCGGTCAGGGTCAAAGGTCTCAGGGTTGGGATAGGCTTGAGGATCGTGAAGCGCGGGATAGCACGTAGGGACGATGAGGGTCCCTTTGGACACCGTGTACTTGGGTGTGACGGGGAAAGATTTGGTAGCCTCATATGGAACAAAAATAACAGGAGGACGATATCGAAGAAGCTCCTTGATGACTGCATTGGTGTAGGGAAGGGACTCGAGCATTGATAACTCGAATGGTTGGTGCCTGTTGCCATTTCGTACGGCAAGATTCTCTTCTCGAAGGCGATCGAGAACATCGGGGCGTTGAGCGAGGACCTGGAATAGCCATGTAGTGGCGCTGCTGGAGGCATCTTGGGAAGCGAACAAGAAGGTGAACATAGTCTGCCCGATCTCATCGTCTGTAAACTCACGGATCAAGTTTCGTGGTTTCTCAACTCCCTCTTCTCCTGCAGCAATACGGTCGTTGTACTTCTTAGACTCCATCATGTGCAAAACCCATTGATCAACGATACACCGTGGCTCAGCACCGGAAGCCATGTTAGCCTTGCAAGCCGCAGCACACTTTGCAAACTCAGCCAGCACGGCATCTGCAGTGCGCTTTCCCTTCCAACACTTGGTGAACGGGACGTAGACGGAGAGAGGTATGTTGACGAGCTCAAGGGCGGCCGTGACCTCGTAGAAATCGTCAGCGATCTTCTCGACAGCATCTTGAGATATGTAATCTCCAAAGAACGTTCGACAAGAGAGAGCACAATTGATCTCTCGGAAGAGACGCATGAATGCCATAGGCTTCCCCTTGTTGGCCTCGCTTGCTGCTACGAACCGGCCGAAGTAATCATCGTATACCTTCTCCTGGACGGGTAGGTAAGTGCTGAGTGCTTTGTTGACGAAGAGCCCGTTCAGTCCTTTGCGGTACTCAGTATGTGCCTTGCCTTGAAGGAAGACCCAGGCGCTCGGCCGCAGGAGGGTTTCGGCCATAGGGACGATGCATGGTTTGGCGTATGTTGGGGACTTGAACACTTTGTGTGCGATATCTCGGTCGGAAGCGAGGACGACGAATCTTGTCAATGATATAAGCGGCTTTTGTCGTGAAGAAGTGAGATATAACTTACTTGTGGAACACCGAAACGCAACTCAGAGGACCGCTAGCCCATTGAGCAAGATAGTGGTCGAACTTGGGATAGAGGGCTCGGATGAAGGGGCCCATGAAAGGGATCTTGAAAGCTGGGCCTGCAATAGGGCCCTTACGCCAGAGATACATGCATTGATCGTATGCAATCAAGACAACTAGGATGGTGAGGAGTATTTGAGATTTGCTGTAGCCATTGAGGTAGCTTGAGAGCAGCCCATTCCCGCTGGAAATGTCCTCTTTCAAGGTTGAGCTGGCGTTTCTGATCGCTGCCTCATGTCCGGGGCTGATTATGGATGCCATTCTGGGAACGAAAGTGAACAGAGCAGCCAACTGATGCATTGAAGCTGGTACAGATCCAGGGGAATGGAGGTCTTATAAGGTAGGACTCAAATCATGCTGGGTCTACTTCAGGGGTTATCTAGGAACTTAACATCCAGTACTGATCCGATCTTACAACAAGAATACGAGCTCCCTGATTATGCCTCGAGTATTGGACGGCTTATCATCTGATACGAAGGATCTGGCTGTTTGACTTGATGCGCCTCCTGGTATGGTCATCGGAATGCCATGGGCTGATATTGGTAGATTCAAGGTTACTACATAGGTACTAGACTCCGATCTGTAAGGTGGAGAAGGTGACTTGTGTATCTGTATCATATCAGATCTGTCTCGACGTTTAGCATGTCGCAATCCAGTCCTTCTGAATTGGTATCCGGCCACGTAAATGATGTCTCGCCTTGCCTCTTACTGAGTTCCATACCATCCACCGAGGGATCTCCAAGTCCATCTGTAAACTAAAAAGGTTATCTCAGCCTTCAATGGTATATTCTATTCCAATATCATTGCTGTCAAACATGCTTGCTGTCGTTGGTCCCGGCTATAGCCTGATCCCTCGCTTCTTTATTGCCGCTGCAGTATCGCTTGGCTTTCTGACACTGGCGGAGACTAGTACTCTTTAGGACTAGTCTCCGATCAAAAATCATGAAACCGAATACGCAGTTGCAGCGCCGCAGCAGCCAATTCGCGAATCAACATGTCGTACGTTTTTCGAGAGCGTCTCTGAGTCTGTTTTCCGGGCTTTCGGGGTTTGTGGTGATTATTTCAATTGATATTTGTGCGTGCTCATGTCAGAATTGCTTCCCACTGTTGCCGGAACACTTCTGCGCGCTCCGTCTCTAGCCACAGAATATTCCGTAAATGGACAACAACATCATCCCAAGACTGCAAGCCCATAGCATTTGCTGCAATTTTGGCTGCGTATATGAGCCATTGTATATCTGTCGGGTCCGTAGCCGAGACAATTGTGACTGAGAGCACCCAGATCTGCAAGGAACCGAAGAAGACGCTGCCCGTCTTGCCTGCTAGAGGCTGGAGCTGGCTCTTAAGACGCTGAATGATCCTGTTGGCCAGCTCCGTATGCGTATAATAAGTTGTTCCGTGTATGATGAGCATGTAGAGTGTTATGGCACATCGTAGATACTCCGATTGAGGCGAGTCCGTGAGTGGTGGAATGAGCAAAAGCTTGTGAACCACGAAGCATGTAAGATCGTGCAATTCGGTGCCTATTGAACTCAAGGCGTTGGGTTGGTGAAATATGCCGCGCAAGCGAGTCAGAATACCTGCTATCTCGCGGTCGAGGAGGAGAGCGTCAACGACAGGGTCTTGGATCTCAAGGAAGGACGATGCGAGAAGCCATTGCAGTGTTGGGCCAACTCCATCTCCAGTCCCGAGGTCGTCCTGTATTGCATATTGAGGAGAGCCTGTGACGAGCAACGATACCCTTTGAAATCGGTTCAGCAAGTATTTTAGTGGTAGGAAGATATGGCTCACCAAGCAATCATCCTCGCGGTCAATGGGCTTACTTGTTTCACTTGATCAAGTCCACCTCGGATCTCAACAATACGTTTTGCTCCGTCTATATGCGCCCTACTGGCTTCGATATTCCCCTTTCCGTGCTACACTCAGAGTCAATCGACAGTGTTATAGTCGGTAGCTTGAGTGAATTACTCACCTCGATGGCAGCCAAGGTGACAACAGAGTTCAATGTCTCATCTTGAATCGCCAGCAATGAACTCCCTATCTTCTTCCGTATTAGAGATACAGAATCTACCATGAGAAGTTCTGATATAGGGAAGCCCTTCTGGGCACGCCTCTCTTCATCTAATGAGGCCGTCTGTATAGAAACGTGGAACAATGCTGGATCTGCAAGAGCTAATGGCCACCAAGAGACGATGAAAGGATTTGAGGACATGTTGAGATCCAAAGGGTAATATTGAAAAGAGATATTGGAGAGAACTAGTTCTTGAGTCAGATGTTAGGCCAGCTTGGAATTTTGTAGACAATGCTTTACAGTGCTGTATCAATCGTTGAACGTGAACTCTGGGAAGTCTGGTGGCTGGATATGAGTCAAAAGGATCGAAGGAATTGCCAGCAGGTGCGAATAGCTCTAGTGAGTCTTGAGAGGCCAATGCTAAATCTCGGCTTTTCATCGAATACGTCTTCACCTCAGACTTCTCTATCGACCTGCTCCGAGCCGGTTGTTCCGGTGTTGACGATGATGTTGTCGATGATGAAGACAAAGGCACGTTTGCGTAAATACACGTGACTTTTCTCTTGAGGCATCGTGAACATTTGGGAGTCCTGAGATCGCAACTGTGTTTCGCCTTCGCGCAGGCATTACAAGATCTTCGGAGCGAGGTTCGCATCGTTAACCGAGACGAGTTAGATGATAGTGATAGTAGAGGAGGAAGTTTATTAACGCGGTAGCAATCAAGTGGAGTTGTCAGTGAAACGGTCTAGCCTCTTTTGGGCCTGACCGTTATGTGACACTTCGGCCAACTAGATTACCCTGTACCTTGGCAGAGATCGACCGATGCATCACGCAAGCACGCAAGGCATGCCGCTTCTGGTCGACACGACGAGATCAACGGCCATTTACCATGACCTCAATAACGCGACTGCGGTAGCTATCGTTACCAGATGAAGATATTTCGGCAAAATAAGAAAGCTATTGGATATTTTTGCTGCTTGCCGTGCGGGTACATCAACTGACGCGTAAGCTGGATCAATTCCAAGTCAGGAACGAGAAGTGAACGAGAAGCGAGAACTCGGGAAACAGCCCCGCAGCAGATCAGCCAGGTACGGTATCATACTGTAACGAACTAACACCTTTCAAGTTAACATCAGTTACATTTGCCCTCCCTTTTCTGTTGCAGAATGTCACGGAACTGACACTGAGGTAGCTCTTGGGCAGGAATGCACTCCTAAGCCAGGCCAAGATGCGATTTGTACCTAACAAGGAGGCCTTTAGACTCAGATGTGACCAGCAAAAAAGTTATTCATGAAACTATCGTACATACTCATCTAGAATCTAAGTAATTCGTAATGCAACTTAACCGACCATATGCCATTTCCCAGCTATGCTGCTATGTTAGCTCAGCTTCTATGTATCATCAACCTGAAACGTATAATCACTAACATTCCCATCAGGGCGCCACTAGTCCCCTTTGGAAGAACACTCTCCATGTTTCGGAACCTCATCGCAGATACGCCCGCTCAATAAGACTTACGCCATCAGGTCCTTGGCCAAACCTGGCGCAAAAGAAGCGAGTCTGATGCCATACAGATCTCGGATCAGATCGAGCCTGGCCTGACACTCTTTAACTTGCCCTGGGCTACTATGCGGGCTTGAGATAGCGATAGCAAGTGGCCAGACCAGATGGTACATGATGACGCCTTGATGTTGCGGTACGGGAAGCGGGATACCCTGCTCGTTGACTTCACCCATCAGATAAGGCAAGACACTGCAGAGCCTCTGAGTCATTGAAACAACTTGCTTTTCGGCGATGGTGGCGGTGGTCTGAGCGAGCTGAACCTGCGGACTGCTCTTTGAGTCCGCGAGCCGCAGGAGGGTTGCAGCACATACATGCAGCCTCCCGAAGAACAATATGAGGTACATGTTGAAGAAGACCCACGTGCACGCCGTCCATCGCGATTGAAAGCTGACCAAGGGCTTATTATTCGGAGTGGCGGGTCGTTTGTCCGCTGTTTGCTGAGGTTGTAGTCGTGTAGGCATGGCCTTTTCGATCATGGCCAACTCAGCGCCGATTGCCAAGGCTTCTTGGATAACCGGAAAGAGTAATTCCCGTTGCTTATTCGGTGTCGATGTCGAATCTGCACCCGTGATTCGCCTAGCTGCCCTGTAGAACTGTCCAATGCGAGTAACGACCAGGGCTAAGCGGATCACTGGGTTTGATGTGTCGAACTCTGAGTCGGGAATGACCAGGCAGTCCATATCGTCCTTGGCCATGAGTGAGGGGATTTGCTTATTTTGTGTCTCAGCATCCATGCTATAAGGGTCCTGTTAAGATCTACTAACCATTTGAGTGAATATCCACGAATGCAAGTTCGACTCTTCGACATTTGTTATCACGCGGTGCCCGACTACGTCGAATAACTTGGAAATGCCGGCCATGTGCACGGCCTTGGTCGTTTGACCTTGGCATTCGATATCCTTGGGGGTTCGTCAGCGAGTTGCAGATCATTGCGGCACATGACTTACCTCGATCATGCCCAACAGCATCAGGGATGCCAATGTTTCATCTTTCAGGGGTCGCTTAGATGCAGACAGATCTCTGTTGACAGTCCGCAAAGCAGCCCCGTAGTGGTATCGTGCGGTGACATAGAGCGTCGACGACTTGTAGTGTCTTGAAAGCGACATGTGAGCTGCAGCAAGGAGGGCCGGGCGTATGCACGATGACCGACTAGAGCTCCTGTACATGTCCTCTAGAAAGTCGAGGTGCCCCTTGATGACGCCTGGCGCCGGCAAGACGCAGTACTCGTGCAGGAAATACGAGATGGACTCATCCTCGAACGAGGGTTGGGGTTGTCGACAAACCCCTGAGCCTCTGGACCTCGCTTTTTCGTAGCCGAGCCCCATGGTCTGCGCGGAAGAGCTGCCGGGCTCATCACGAACAAGGCTATGTCCAGGCTCTCCGTGGAAGCGGAACGCTAGTGGTCGATCATAGCCGGGGCATGGAGCCTTGTAGAGCTCGCAGCGTCGACATCCTGGGCGTCTGCCATCGCACTGGTAGGAACAGGTTAGTTAGGATAGGGGCTGGACCGTTGACCTGTCAGATTCAGATTGATTGACCAGGAAACTCACTTTGATCTTTCGCTTCCTGCAGCGGCTGCAGCCCCGGCTGAGGGTTCCGGGGAAGACCATGTCGTGTCTTGGGGCTTGGCTCGGCTAATAATATTGGTCAAGCCACTCAGACTCTGTGGGGGATTGTTGGTTGGGCTGAAATGTTGTTCTTGGGCATGTGAGTTTCTCAGTGGAGCTCTGGGCAACAACTCTTGTAGATTATATCCTATGGGAGAAGTTTCTGGCCATTGCTTATCTAGAAAAGACCAATCAAGCTTGGCATGTCTCGAATGGCTGCCTGAGTAAGCATGTATGTCATTTGCCCAGGATCACATTGGTGGAATTACGGCCTTCCATGGTTAGTATCGGTCCTTAAAACGTCAAAGCGTCGCAACCTAGGCTTGTTGTAGCATAGACTTGGTCTTAGGATACGGCCCCTGGGCGATGGCTACCAAAATTACGAGTCTTTGGTGGCTTGCAGTTATCGTGTATCAACTCTTTGATGTGCGCCACAGCAAGGGCTCCGGATGAACCGCACCTATTGGAACCTACGAGGCGTTCCACGCTTGCCCTCAAGCAGATGAGAACAATGGCTTAGGCCTCCGGGAGTGTCAGCTCTGAAGCCGCGACTGCTATCCCAGGCCAAGTTTGCAAGGCAAGTGTCTGGTCTCATTAACCACGGGGTAGCCGTTATCTTAAATGTTACGTTGTAAGATATCTGTCGTTTAGTTGAGACCGCTGGCACAGACATCGGGGATCATTTGACCCACTGCCTTGGGCCTCCGATACCGTAACGCTACCAAGCTTCCCCGGGGAGATAATCTAAGATCAAGGAGTCACTCTGCAGTATCTGATCGACCTGTTAGCCGGTGTTTTAAATACAGGGTCAGGAAAAGGTTTCAACGGTCTCGCCCCATCCGACTCGTCCGGGCCCCCTGCTATGATCGCCTTGACTACTTAACCAGTAATAGCGTTGACTGATAATAACTGCCGCGACATTGCGTGCGGCCAAGACACGTCCTCACCCAAATTGTATTGCTTTTACCTTGCCATGCAGTGACGATTCCTGGACGATACGTCAACGGCTTCTCATAGTGCATGTATGTAATATGCGGCGTTCCGATAGTATCGCCGTTCTAGACCTAGCACTTTGGAGTCAGGGAGCCAGGGCTAGACCCAATCTGTGTCGTTCCCCAACGTCTTAGCGCGAGGGTATTTAAAGAGAAGCATAGAGCCGTTTTGTTCCCACGCGTGGAATTCCCCGCCTTTATCTTTATCTCCGGTGACCGATTGTGAGCAGAGCCTCGCAAGGACGCCTGCTCTGCACGACGTGACCCGTTCTACGCCTGAATCATGCCATCCAAGTCGCTCAGCCGAGCCAGAAATGGGAACCGTCGGAGGTACGACTCTGAGGCCTCTTCCTTTCGCCCTGCCGAACCTTAAAACTGACCGAGCTGACCTCATGCAGCCATACAAAGTCACGCATGGGCTGCTTGACGTGGTGTGTGGGACTTTAAAGACTTTCGATACTAGTCGAACATACTAATCAGTATTTGTCTGGTCCAGTAAGCGCCGTCACATCCGTTGCGACGAGAACTATCCCCAGTGGTAGGTGGACCGTGCCTCTATACTAAGGTGATCATCAGCTCATGATCTCCAAGCCAGAACTGCACTAAGCACAAAGTCAAATGCTCCTTTCACGATACACCGTCACAAGAAGAGTTGCTACTCCAGCCCCCACCTGAAAACAATCCATCAACGTCTTGTTCAACTTCTAAACCTCGTCGGCCATGGTCGGCAAAGGCCAGGGCAGAGGTAAGGCAGTGGAGAAGGACAGGGTCAATGCCTATACCGGATGATCGTATCAGAATAACCCTGCAGCCAACCATCTACTCCGAAGATGACTTGTGCTTCGTTTACCAAGCAGCAAGTAACCAGCATAGACTTACGACGATGGGAGTGAGTAAGCTCACAGTTATATCATCATACTTACCGAGGTTTGTTTGTCCATAAGTTTCTTATCTCATCATGTTGACTCTCTAGCTTTTTTCGTATCATCTCATCGTCTCGGCTGGCGATGAATGGAGTCCTCGCCCTTTCGGCATATCAAGTTGCTTCAGTTACTCACTGCCAACATGCCCGCCGGAAAGAGTATCAATACCAGATGCTAGCTATCCAGGACCTCAGAAGATGTCTGTCCAACTTTAGACCAGAGCATGCTGACGGAGCCCTCGTTGCCTCGATGGCACTATTGTGGCTTTGTGAAGACATGTGAGTGCGCCTTGCTGAAGCGTTGAACGCAAGTATTGACATGACCAGGTCGAGCCGAAGACAAATTGCAGAAGGTATCTCAGCTGTAAGTACTATTCTGTTATCAGGCGATACATTGAGGCTCATAAAATATCAGATCCTACAAACATGCCATCGGTTAGGTCACCAATCCGGATTTTATCACATGATAGCAAAAGCATGGCGTCAAACCGCCCATCTTCACACAACACTCAAGACGGAGTGCGGGAAGCCGAACGGACTACAACGCATAATTGTCGAGATGCAGAAATTCAAGGCCCTGTTGAAAGAGCAAGAACCGGACGACGACACCTGGAGACAACTGCGGCTACTCATCGCCCTCGCTGAGGACCTGACCGAACTGGAACCATCGACACCCGCCGATAAACAATTCGAACGAATCCGACTGCTGCGAGACTACAAGCTTTGGCTCCCTCTTAATGACCTCTTAACCGGCAAGAACCTGTCGAGCACGCTGATGGTCAATGCGTATTTGTATACGATAGCTCTATACGCTCAACGCCAGACATCGCAGGCGTATATGATTGACCTCGGAGTCGACCTGCCCAGTTTGCTGGACGAGACGTTACGGCAGATCACACCTGTTAAATCATATATAGGGCCACTCAACAACCTGAAAGCCCTGGTATCGTCATTATCATGATACTGAGAATATTTTAGTTATAGCAAGTTCAGAGTATGGCAGCGGAATGAAATGAACGGCACCAAGCAACAGGCGAACGGTAATGGTAATAATCAACATTTGGGCTACTATACCAGACATCAAGTGTACTATATCTTGTTTCAAGTGAATGTGACGAGTAAAAACCGGGCCTCGGACTGCCTTTTGCTTACCAAAACCCCCTCTCAGCCCGTTGACCAATAGAGGCTTACGCAATTACACTGATAGACACCACTGCATCCTGAATCCTTCTCCTTTCATTAAACAACTCACCGCCATTTTGTATCAAGATGACTGCACAAAAAAATCTCAGACTTGAAGACGTCACCCTTGAAGATGTACCCGTTCTCACAGAAGTTTGGTTCGCAGCTTTTACCGATCCTGGAATCCGGCGCATCTGGCCTGATACACCGGCGGTACGCAACTGGTGGACCGGAGGCAATCGTCACGACTTGATCCATAAACCGTTTCAACGCTACGTCAAAGTTGTCGATCCAGACTCTAAAGATGCTAATGGCCGTCCACGCATCGCGGCTTTTGCCAAGTGGGATACTTCGATGCCCCGCGAGCGGGGTCGACGATATCCACCATGGACGGAGGATCAGCCTGGTCAAGTCTGCGACGAGTTCATCGCCAAGGAGGAGGCGGAAAGACTCCGCGTTATGGGAAACCAGAAGCACTACTGTAAGGGGCCACTCGGACCTTGAACTATACCCCGGATCTGCTAACCGCAACTCATCTAGATCTCGATACCTTGGTCACGCATCCTGACTATCAACGCTGCGGAGCTGGCTCAATGCTTATGAAATTTGGCTGTGACCTAGCGGACAGGGACGGAGTTGCAGCGTATGTGGATGCAAGCAAGTCTGGGGCCGGACTTTACAAACGGTTTGGGTTTGTGGATGAGAGCTTACCCGGTTCTGGCGACGTCGCGTCCATGGCTCGACGTTAACGCCTGTCGGTCTTTGTAGCCTGGGCTGTGCCGCTGCAACGTTGTAATATTCAAGGATTATTTAATAAAGCATAAACTACTCATATATCGAAGCTGAAGCTATCCAGACATGCTTTTTGACATATTGTTTTCGTAAGTCTGCAGAAAACCGATATACAAGGTCGAGAACTGCATAGGTGAGCTTTGTGTTAGAGATCGGCAGCAGGGTGAAGAACAGACTAATATTCGCGATCCAGGACAGCCTTACCGGAGATAATTAGGGAAATACCATCCCACGTTTTCTCCCGAGATCTCACGTCGCACAAGCCAACAGCACAGGGTCCATCCTAGCAAGAAATTATTCTACAACTGCAAGACATATCAACTGCCGAGACGTTACGAATGGATGGTGATAGGCGAAGGTACGATCTTCCTTGGATCAAAAGACTCTGCCGTTATTTACCGCCAAGTCTTCAAGTGATAGGTGAGAATACGGCCTGTGCCGCTTGGAAATATTTGTCGAGGCTGCTTCCTGCTTTTCCTACGATAGGCGAGGATACGAGAACCATGTGACCTGTCGCTTTTCCAGGAACAAACATATGCTACTAGGAAGAAATACTGGGAATAGGCCTCACCGATTCTGTCTCATATTCTGTGTACTAGAATGCTTCCCCTTCATATCCGGCGTTTAGAGGCCTAGGCTGAGCGATGGAACATCAGTATTATTTCTCAATATCATGATAGCTAGAAGCGAATGACGGGTAATTTCGAGCCGAGGTAACATAACAAAGCGTCACATATTTGAGTTGCAAGAGCTAAATACAGATCAGAGAAATTCATATTCATCAGCATATTCTCATTCTGTGAACACTGAAGTGTCACGCGGTTCAATAAGGTAAACGTTATTTATATCAGTGCCTGTTTTGTAACGCCATGAGCTACTATGTTGTATTACAGGAAATTAATTGACAGTATTAAACGAGATGGAAGGTTCTTTCAAGGGCTGTGTAGAGGTTATGGGGTTATATTAAGCTCTTGAATAGTAGATGTGACCTGCTATAGTCTCTCTTCTATTTCACCAACACTCGTCTCGTTCCATTGTGTTGCATGACAGCGAACCCTCTCATTATGGAATCTCATAGAATATAGAATCCATAGAGTGTAGATCTAGTTTGAATCTCTAAATACCCTTAATCTTTACATGCCGTCATCCTGGTCTCTCCTCTACCAGCCAATCTTACCTATCCCATCGCATAGCCCCGATCCTGGTAGAATATGTTAGATCACCAGAATCTCGTAAACCCGCTGTTCGCATTTCAAACGCAGATTTGGAACAGGTTTCTTCCAAAGGTCCAGCCGCCCAACCATCTCATGCAGTCGGGTATAACCAATCATCCACCGTAACATCCAATTGCTGACACCTGTACTTCGGTTCCTCAATAATCCGAACCGAGGTCACGTCAAACACCAGATAATCCCCTCTTCATAATACATCTTCATTCAATACCTACCATCATGAGCTCGTTAATAGGCAGAGTCATGGGGCATCGTCGCCTTCGTACTCAATGCGGTATCTGCGGCAAAGCATTGTCGGCTGGTGTGAGCTTTGTGACTTGTTAGTTTTGGCAACACCGTTCTCATGCTCTTCCTTCGGCTAACAGCACTACAGTACTAGGTGACGGCCTTGAACCAGAATCGGGAATTTGTCTGGACCGTGCGCTGTTCCCTCCCGACTCTCGGTGCATCATAAATGGCGATAAATTCATTTGCTGGTCACCAAGCTGCCGTCAATGCCCAAATGCTGCTGAAGCAGTGGGATTACATTCTACATGCCTGAATATGTTTCAAGAACACTGCAAAACCGACAAGGCGGTCGACAGATTATGGATAACAATTGGCAAGAGGAACCTCTGGCAACGCGCTCCCATGCTTCATCTGGATCGCGAAACAGCACTTGACATCGAAATTGTCCGCGAGAAAGCAGAAGCTTATGGTATGCGATCATTGAAGCTTCTACCAGTAGAGCTCATCCATATGGTACAAGAATACAGCGATTCGGCGACGTTCTGGCGCTACATCCACGTTCTCAGCACAGCCCGGGAATTGTCCCGCTTAAAGCCCGATACCGCTCCGCCTGCTACCTCGATACCTTTGTGTAATATCCTATCTTGGACACGAGGAGATTATGCTGCTGTGTTATCAAGCAACTGTCCGCCAGTAGTACGCTTGACTCTGGATCACAGGGGGATACGTAAGATAGAACGGTTGTCGAAATCACCATACAAACCTGGACGTTCGGACAAGGAGGCTTTTGTTATTGCACCTGCGACATGCCTCCAGGATGTTGTGGCCGTACTGGAGGTGATGATGATACTCCAGGTATTGGAATGATATGAACTGACGAGTACACCTAGTTCCAAATGTTGCGGCTTGAGCTACCTGCATCTCTGTTGGGGCTTCACATCTGGGATACCCCCAATCCCCCTGGTATTGAGGACTGCGACTTTTACGGCCGTGTGACACCATCCATGCAATTCAAGACCACCAACTTACGCAGTGTAACCGGCCTCACGTTTTTCTTCTCATTTAGTAAGCTGTACGCAATACATGCACATACACATACGAGACCTTATGCAACGAAAACATTTGGTCGCCTTCCAGCAAAAAGACAGGAAAGTATCGTATGGATATACCTTCCGGTGCCGAGAGATGAAGAAATCACCGCAATCACGATGCGGTTGAAGGTTGACGGAGGAGCGGCCATAGCGCAAAAGCCCTTTTTCATGGTACCATGTTCCTTTCGTGATCGAATTCACGGTGCTGATGAAGACAGATTCGTACAAAGCTAGCCGGGGATGTGTATGTTGGCCCATGCCATCTGAGGCAGCACAGAGATATCGTTCTCGGCCAGTCAAGTCCGGAACTGCTCATTCACAATGTTGCAGATGTCGGACCAGCTACTGTATTCGGGACATATCCGCGGAGGCAGCACCATGATAGCCTACCGCCGTTCAGCAACCGCTGGCCGAATATGGCTCCTCGGCTTCCTTTAACGTTCGAGCGTATGTATCTTTCCGTGGCGTCATTAAAAGACGTGACTGGGATTCAGGTTCTCGAAGATGGGAACTTTGAATGCAAGGGTATGATATTCGACTACGGGAATGGTGCCCAGAGAGCCTTGGGCGACTGTAAATTTGGCCACTATCGTGTCAAAACGTATCTGAGGCCACGGCGTTTGTGCTACTGTCATGTCCAACCTACACCGGCGATAGCGCGGGGCGTTCACATCGAGATCGGAAGTGAGTCGGACCATGCACACAGCGGCGATGACTGGAAGTGCTCGAAGATGGAAGGGAATATCGAGTTTTGGTTCTCCAAGGAACATTCGGTCATCGTCTGCCACTCCGTTGAGAACACAGCATCGCCATGAGATGAGGCGTCTTGAGGCTTGGTAGCGCTTTGTTTCCTTGGCGGCTGTTCTAGTTTCGTCTAGATCAACAGATATGCAAATGCAGAGACCCTCAGCTCACTGCTAGTATACGTCAGTGTATTGATGATCCCCAAGCGCGAAATCGTGGTCCAGCTGGAGTCATAGCAACTCAAGATCGCCCAGCTCAGCACGGACTTGTCAGCTTGTCGACATCAACAATGGGGACACAGCCCAATTGCAGTGATAATATATGTACGCCAAGAAGCGGTCGATCAAAGGTTGCACCAAGCTCGGCTTTATAAACAATTCTCTGGTCGACAAACGCGGCTCGCTGCATATGATGTGATATTTGCAAAAACACAGATTGAACAGTGATCGTCCGATGGCCTGATCCAAACGGTCTAGTACGACGCCAGACTGGCTGCACACTTTTCTACATTGGGCTTTGTGATCTTCATTCCCGGACGTAAAGTCCGGCTAGTTCAGCGTCTGTCCAATAAAGAAGTAGTGATAATCAGCCCCGTTGACATTGCCAATTCGATAGTCTGAGACTCGACTGGCGCCAAGCAGACGGGCTTGATGTCAGCTGTGGAATTGCCTGTGGCCGTTGCAATCCTGACGTTGTCATTTTGACACTTTTGCAACGCATCAGTCTCACAGAGGCCAACTTTGTGCGCGTCATACCTGCAGCCACGCCAATATGAAAGAATTGAAAAGTGATGAGAAGGGAGTAGGTAGACCGTAGTCACTACGTCAGCCGTTGAGCATTCCCCGGGTTTACACCATTACCTCCACCATCGCCATAAATACTTTTTGCGTTTCCCTGTTTTTCACTCACACCAGATTTCTTCTTTCTGCTTAATCTTTCCTTTCAGGGTCCAGGCCTCGAAGAAAACTAACCAGTCATCGCGCGCGAAAATTCACGACGTTGCGAAAATGGCAAACGCTGCTGAAGTCCGAGGTGCGAATGGCTTCAATGGCCACCACCACTACCATAAGCAGCAGAGAACCCATCTCAGCGAATTTGGCACTCACATGGTAGCGGCGTCTGGTGAATTTGTTGGTACTTTCTTCTTCTTGTACTTTGGCTATGCTGGCAATATTATTGCTGTTCTTCAAGAGCCCGCCACTGGGCCTAATCGCACATTGGCGAACAACACCATTATCTGGATCGCAATGGCATACGGCTTCTCCCTCTTGGTTAATGTTTGGGCCTTCTACCGAATCAGCGGTGGATTGTTCAACCCTGCGGTAAGCTATTTTACTTGTTGACAAGCTTCATATGCTGACGGGTTCTGCCCCAGGTCACCTTCGGTCTCTGTCTCGCTGGCGAATTGCCATGGATGCGAGCGCTGTACCTATTCCCAGCCCAGCTCATCGCTTCGATGTGCGCGGGTGGTCTCGTCGAAGCCATGTTCCCCGGAAGTGCCTCGCAGGCAAATACCACGCTCGGTCCCAATACTTCGATAGCACAAGGCGTCTTTCTTGAGATGTTCTTTACCGCTCAGTTGGTCTTCGTCGTCTTGATGCTTGCGGCGGAGAAGTCTCGCGATACATTCCTCGCGCCAATTGGCATTGGCCTCTCTGTCTTTGTGGCCCTCATTCCAGGTAGGAAGCCTCCCTTGTTATTGCTTCTTGGCACATTGTTAACGGCCGCATCATAGGTGTCTTTGTCACGGGCGGATCGTTGAACCCTGTACGGTCTTTCGGCTGCGCTGTCGGTGGCAGAGACTTCCCCGGCTATCACTGGCTCTACTGGGTCGGACCTCTTCTTGGTGGTGCTCTTGCTGCTGGCTACTTCAGGCTTGTCAAGATGATGCACTACGAGGAAGCGAACCCAGGACAGGACAGTCCAGTCGACGTCTAGGAGGCGACGACAGAGGATCAGTATGTTTGAGCAAAGGTGGTGGCTTGAGCATGTAATTTGGAAAGCAATCTGCCACTTGTCAATTACATCAAGGGCAATATCATGAAGGGTTATACAAGGTAATAATTTGACGGCACAGCGGAGTTTATTAATGAAGCATTATGACCTATTAATCACTGAATGGCAAATAAAACACTCAAGTATCGCTCAAACCCAAGAATTGCCATGATTGACCCTTTCTAAACACTTAATATACACCGAAAAACCCATGTAAAGACCCAAAATCACGCTTTGAGGACCAATGGTCCCTGTTCATCTTGGAACACCACATCCCACCAATTCTGCTTCTCCTTCTTGGCCCAACTTGACGTGCAAACGGTGTCAAAGTCGGTGTTGACCATACCACGCTGGGCAGGCATGAACCGCCTGATAGTTCGGTATGCCTCAAGACCCCAGTAGATAGCCCGGCCTTCGGGGATCTCGACCCTGCCCAGAGGCTGCTGTCGGCGCTGAGTGAGCTGCGCGTTGACAAGCTGGCGGAGGTAGGGGAAGAACCACATGCGGTCCCACCACAAGACTCTTCGGGTCTTAAGGTTGTTGATGTGGGCGTTGTGGTGAATATTGATGGGGATGGCGGTGGTGAAGAAGTCGGCGTACAAAGTCATGTCGCCCCAGTTCAGTGTGCGGCGGTCCTCTTCCGAGAGAATGCGCGCAAGAGGATTTGTCGCATTGGCAATCTCCTCGGGGACAGCTGTCAGACGAACGGGCTCAATCTCGAGCTCTCGAGATCGCTCAGCGATAAAAGTCTGGTTGTTGAGTGTCAGGATATCACCATCATCTTCTTCGAAGACAGTGGGGATGGAGATGGTCTGGTTGTAGTCGAGGCCGACGTGGAACTCGAATTGATCGCGGACCATGGTGGAAACATTGTGAGAGGGATCAATGGCATCGCCGAGCTCGCGTCGCCATGTGCGCCACATCTCTTGCTCTCCCCAGATCTCACCAAAGAAGCCCTGGTCACTGTAGAAGTGATCGCCCTGCTCGGCCTTTCCAAGCTCGTAACGCTCTTGGGCGCGACGGAAGTACTTTCGCATGTCGCCGACAGGTCCAATGAAGGCACCACTGTTGATGTACTTGGGTCGGACATCGACCATGCGCAAGTTGGGGTCTTGGTCTGTCTCGGGTCCGTAGAGATCCTCACGGAGAGGAGACTCTGGAAGAGCATCACAGTGCAGGTTGGAACCAGACTTGGCGCGAGGCCAGCACCTCTTCTGGGCGGACACCATGATGGTCTGCTTCATGGGCATCTCGGACTTGTGTGGCCATTGAGCGCGAAGACGTGCGTTGGCCTCTTCGTTGAGGGCATGGTAGCGCCAGAGGAGTACACTTGGGGGGAGTTGGAACCAGGAGTCGGCGCTGTCGGCGACCATGATGAGATCGTCCTCGTTCAAGTGATCCTTGCTTGAGCTGCCTTGACGAGAGCTCCAGTCAAGGTAATCGAGAACACCAGCGATCTTGGCGAGATGCGAGCCACTCTTGCCCCAGTTCAGGATGACGGGGGCGGGATATCCAAGGGCAACCGCTGTAACAATGGCCTTGCAGACGTTGACACCGGGGGCGTTGGCTGGGAGGAGGATGACGAGACGGCGGTTGAAGATGTTGCCGGCCTTCTTGGGAGGGTTGACCATGACGGGGATGCCAGCGGGCGAGACGGGGGAGACAGGTGAAGCGGGCGAAGCGACAGGTGAGCTTGCATCTTGAGTTTCGCCGCCCATCTCGAATACATCGGCCGTTCCATCGGAGAGATATTGTCGGCCCTGCAATTGTCAGTCAATTGAAGATCCCATTGGCGATTGCGACGTCACTTACCTCCAGGGCTGCAAGAGCCAAAAATGTGGGAATGAGAAGAATAGCCGCCAGCACGAGCAGGAACCCTCTCGTTGACAATCGCAAGAACCTCCTCGGCATTATCTGCGTGGTCTCAGTCTTATCCTTGACGACATTCGTCGTCGGCAATTCTTGGTATCCGCTGCTGAACATTTGGCGAAACCAGCCAGCACCATCTTGAGCGCCCGTCATATTGAGAGAGAGGAAGCAGATTGATTCAGATCAGTAGCAAAACTGACCAAAAGTTGATCTGCACTGTCAAAAGAGTGTTTGAATGAATGAATGAACGAATGAATGATCGAACGAAGGACGTCGAGGGGCAATGCTGAGGGGTTCCGCTGTGACATGCCTATAATATACCAGGGAGTTCAACGGTGCCAGATGCGCAGAAAAGGAGAAAAAAAAGCCACTGGAATTTCCAGACCCTCCCTTGCACGCAGTCCATTCCCTCACCAATTGCACATTATTGGACTGATTGAAATCACTGGCATATCGCCACAAACAGGTACCTCTGCCCATTTCATAGGGAAAAAGGGTCAAAGTGGCTTGCCAAGATCTTGGTCTGCTGAATTATCGATTCAAGGGAGGGCAAAAAAGAGAATGCCAGAAGGAAAACCGACTCCACCTGTGCATGGCGCTATCGCCGACCTAAACCCGCCTAGAATTAATTACTGTCGGGCGATGTCTTAGCCCCAGAGACTAAAATCAGGGGCTGGACTCAGCGCCGTTTTAGCGTGACGAGCGCTACACAGCGGGCGGTGGCCTAACAGACAAGCTTAATTTTACAGCGCCAAAACATCGCTGTCGCCACCTCATGGATGGAAAGGATCATGATGGGAGCGACGCAGGGTCTGCCAAGCAGGCGATTGTTGATCTCGTGAAACAAATCTCCAGTCTTGAAGAACAAGTCTGAGCACAAAATGAATGGTTGCTAGAAAGATGGAGCATGAGAGATTGCTATAAAGTTGCCAGCCCCGACCTTGAGTTTAATCAGTTGGCGATGTGATTATTGAGGTGAACATTCTTCCCTTGCCCCGGTCAATTCTAGCCAACAAACGCAAACGTCATAAACATGATGCTTCGCCTTTGCTTTGGCATCTTCATAACTTTCTATCAACGCAATTCAGGGTGTTCTCTTCCCAGTAAATCGTCGGATTTCCTCGACAGATCTGTCTATATGGCCTCGTCAGTTGCACGTCTCTGCCATTTCTTGCACAGCTCCGTGATCAACTTGAGAAGAAGCCATCTCGCTTCTACAACATCGAGCGTCCAACTCAGTCGAGGCGCCGCTTGATGTTTTTTTTCTTCTGTCACTGGCCCCTGTCTTCAGGCGCGCCATCTTCCCCAAGCTATTGGCATTAGTGCCCGACCGGCCTTCGCAACACATGCAGGAACAGGAAAACGTCGGAGTCCTCATGATGATCCTTATCAAGCAGCAGAAAATGTCAAATTGAGTCTAACCAGAGACTAAGAAAAATCAATCGCTACTCTAACGCTATGACAATCGCTAATGAGACCACATTTTAAGGCTGAAATGCATCCAGGCTATTCGCCCCCGATCTGAACTCCTTGCATTCTTGGTACAGTATCAGAAATTCCTCCGGACGCAAGGGAGACGAGGGAAGTGACTGATGTCTGAGACTTCACCAATCATGACTCCCTTGGACGTCTTCCCCCGTTAGACATGATTTAAATTTAAGCATGTATTGGGATCGCGCGATGCTCAAATCGCGAGAAGGGAGAGGAAGATTGACCAGATTCCGATCTTATCGTGTTTCGGGCGGCGCCCACATCCCGGGGAGATTCTGAGTTCTGCCAGTACAGGGCCATGGGAAATGGCCGATCCGCCTGCGTCCAGAACCCCTCCCCACTAACCGCCCGCCGACGATATTCGCGTGCCCCCTGAATTAACCCCTCCACGTCCTTTCGCTCCGACGTGCGCTTGTCCCATTTCAATCTCAGCGCGTTGAAGTCGTCGCTGACCAATATTGGTGCTCTGACTGTTCCGTCTGAGGATTGCGATGAAGATAACAGGAGTTTGTATGTCTCAAGCGTGAGGAATGGGCTGTAGACAAGTGTCTCCTCGTCAATCATGCGTCCAGCCTCGCCCAAGTTTGCAATTGATGGTGTTTTTAGTACAGAGATGTCGAGGCTCTGGAGAAACGTCTCGTCGGTAGCTGTGAATGTTGGGTCTTGGGCGTAAATTCTCAATTTGCTCTTATCGCTCGTTGATAACGTTAGATGAGATGCGATGGCCATTAGCACAACCAATTGTTTGATGCGTCGCTGTTGGTCCTTAGCGTCTAACAAGCTGCCCAGACCCAGCGAAACAATCTTGGTGATGCTTGGTCGGTTTTTTGTTCGCAGCATGTCTTCAATTGTCTTGGCCAGTGCGGATTGGTTGTAAATGTCCCTGGCATCTTCATATAGTCTATATAATTGCTGGAGTTGCTTGCCAGATCCGTTGCCTTTTCTTGAAGTTTGCGACTTTTTGCTGGGCGTGTAATGATCTGCATCTGTTAACAGTCTGGACTGGACCTAGGGCCATTAATTGAGAGACTCACCATCGCCATCGACAACCTGCATCTTCTTTGAGTGTCGCATGTTTACTGAAGTACTCTTTGTAGTATTTTGTGTTCGTGTACGTGAAATTTTGGCGTTTTGGACAATTCAAGAGATGGTATTGGCTGTTTGGAAGTGATTGATGTTTGTTTATTGCACTCAAACTGAGGGCAAAACTGCTTCTATTTAACATGACCACTGGACATTCATCTTTCTGTATATCTATATGCGACATGCCTATTCTGTATCTTTCATTGCGTGCTCGGTGTTCGGTCTCTTGCTGCGCCTGTCAGCAAGACCTTTGTAATCCTCTCGGACAACGATGCCGTCCGCATAAGCAGATTTTGGTGAAGGATGGGTTTGACAGCATCTGCAACAGTCAGACCAATTTCTAAGCTAACAGCCGCTAGTCAATTTCGGATCAACGTTACAAATCGAACAAGATGACAAAAGCTTCAATGACGACAAATCTGGGCTATCGTGGAATTGACTCGTTATGGCGGTTCTATTTGATGAGATGAACGGAGATAAACTGATCGAAAAATCGAATTTTCATTTAATTTAGCCATTTTTCGACACCGACTTATCAATAATTCTCGCTGTTCGAGGGCAGTCTCTGTCACTGTCTCTGACTTTATCGCGCTGACTGAACGATAAGATCCACGATAAGAGATGGATAACACGGCTACCGGCTCTCATCTGCAGCATCATTATGGCTATTTCGGCAGGTGAGTCACTTTGAATCATCAATCAATCATTCCTATAATCTCTTTTCGCATTAATTGTGACTCACGAGATAAATCGACTTGAATCCTTCGAGCTATTGCAGATTGCGCACCTCGGACATTCCAAAGTCCGACGTTTCACTCGCCAATCTTGGCTTCTTCGCTCACTCGGTTCCCGGAGCATTCAACTTCGATTCCACGGACAAAGCTCTCTCCTACAATTGCGGAACCACCTTTCTTGATACGACAATTCTCGTCTTCCACATTTTTAAATTATTAGGGATGTTAAGATTGCCAAAAGAGCTCCTCGTACGAGCCTTGTTCGGCTCCAGACGAAAGACAACGAAAGATATTTGACTAACAGACTTGAGTATAAACGACACGTGTTGGTGTTAGTGTCTCATCGCAACAAACGCTTACCCCCAATATGGGTAATCGACGTGATCACAACGCAATAGCAGGAAAGGTTTGCTACAAATTTCTGGCGATTAATTATACATCTATCCCCGGAGTCTAATCCCTCGGCATTTAGGCCCTAGCTAAACCGGCCGTCTGCCCATGGAACCTTCATGCCCATAAACGACGACCGCGACGACTTTCTCGCCGGCTCTTGACTTTGCTGTCCGTAGTTTGCAGGTCCAGGTGGCGCGTAAGGCACAAACCCAGGATCCGGCGTAGTCTGGCTCAGCGGAACATAAGTCTCCGGAGGAGAAAATGAAGGGAGGTTCTCTGGCGGAGGAGTCTGTTGCTGCATCGGCTGATACGCCTGGAATGCGTTCGCCAATGACCCAGGAGGAGTCGAGTGTCGCACATTCTCCCCACCCCCTCCAGGTTGGTACGGTTTGTACGTCGGAGGCTTAGCACCCGTGATTGGCTTTCTTTTTATAGGTCCCTTTGACTGTTCGTTCGTCGGTGTGATCAGCTCAGATTGGCGCTTGTACAATGGGTTTGGACTGAAGTCGAGGATGTCCTGAGCAGGGCTGTATAAGTCTGCGAAAGAGCTCGATGAAGGACCCGATGGAGTGATAGATGGTCTAGTTATCGGCGAGGCGATATGGTGACTCGGGGTATCCTCCACTACGATCTTCTCGGAAGCAAAACTGACAGATGGGCCAGCGCTTTGAGTTTGCACCTCAGGCGATGTTGGCTCGTAGATTGAACTCCTCCTACTCTCCTCATGCACCGGCTTCGGGTCATCGTAGTTGAGCTCCTGCTTCTGATTCTGCACGCTTCGAATCACTGCAGTGATGGAAGCATCGCCAGAAACCATCGCAAGCCTGATTGCCTCCAGGATGTCTGAAATGTGGTGGGTCAGGATCTTGACACATTCTTCTCTGCCCGCCTCAAGCGCTTTCTGTAGTGCATTTTGACCTGCCTTGTTCCTGACCAAGATATCGGCGCCACGGTCAAGCAGGAACTGAACCGACTCATGATCACCGCTCCACGCTGTAAGGATAAGTGCCGTGTCTCCCTCATTATCCGCATGATTGATGTCGGCACCTGCATCCAACAACAGGCGAATCGGGTCACGAGGTAGATATATCGCCGTGTAAGTCAGAGGAGTTGAGTTGTACTCTCCTCCAACAACCGTCACATCTGCCTTGGCTTCCAGAAGCTTCTTGAAGATAGCTTCTTCGCCCTTGCTGGCCGCAGCGATGATGGGATGAGAGAACTCGCCTCCTCCAAGGTTAGGATCAGCGCCGTGCTCGAGGAGGATATCGACAATATCTCCTCTGCCAGATTCAACGGCCGCTTGCAATGCGGTACACTTGGGCATGTTGGGGTTGGCCGTGGTTGCATTGACGTTAGCACCGCGTTCCAAGAGAAGGTTGACAACGTCGACATGGCCTTGATCCGCAGCAGTTTGGAGAGCCCATCCGTCAGCAGAGTTGACGTCGGCGCCAGCATCGAGAAGAAGCTTGATTATCTCGATGGTGCCATCAAAAGCAGCTGCTGTCAAGGCGTTCCCATATCTGTCAGTTACAGTTAGCTGATGATACCTCTCATTTATCTCGAGCAAGACTTACAGTTCGCCAGTTGCATTCGCGTTAGCTCCATATCTCAACAGCAACTCCACTGTCCTCTGATTCTCAAAGTCCGTAGCTTCATACAAGGACTCATCTAGCGCCTCAGGCGAGATAGTTCCCTGAGAATACTCCCACATAGCTCCCAAGATACGAATCTCATCATCACCATCTTCTCCCTGCGCAGTTTGTAGGAAGGTTTTGTCACAGTTCAAGCCGGGGCAGTGATCCAGGATCAACGACACGATAGCCCAGTGGTCCCCAAAAGATGCTCCATCGAGGGCTTCCTGTTTGAACTGTTGATTGTGCTCAAAGTCATGGAATAGCCGTGAGAAAGCTTCGAATCGGCCGTATTCTGCTGCTTTGACGAGGGCTATGCCGAATTCTTCAGCAGGTAGCTTGTCGGAATATTCCTTGATGAGAAATTCGAACACTGCAAGGTCAGCTCTCATAGCTGCTAGAGCCAAAGGCGATGTGATAACCTCCTCCTCATCTTCTTCATCAGAGTCCGAGTCGGAGTCTGAGCCTGACTCTGAACCCTCGTCCTTATCACTCTCCTCGTCTCCGTCATTATTCTCAGCTTCCTCGCCGTTCTCATGCTCAGCCTTGTCGTCTTCATCTTCATCATCCTGAGTGACGAGCGAGACATTATGGGTCACCAGAAGCTTCACGGCTTCAGTGTTTCCAGACTGGATAGCCGCACAGATTACACCTCCGTAAGCACCGCAGCTAGCATTCGGGTTTGCTCCCCGTTGTAGAAGCTTACTCATAACCTTGACGTTTCCTTCGGCTGCTGCTCTGTGCAAGGGAGTTATAAGATTGCCCTTGATGCCTTCATCGATGTTGGCACCTCGGTCAAGAAGCTCCTCAGCAATGTCATCATGCCCAAAAGCGGCTGCGTAATGTAACTACATTATGTCAGCTCATACACGTTGCGGTTCAGAGTCCCATCTTCTCCTCTCCAAGGGCTGTCGTCACTTACCGGCGTATTATAGTCTGAATCCATCGCGGCCTTGTCCTTATCGAAACCGTGATCCATCAAAGCCGCGACTAGGTCTCTAAATCCAATCGTAGCAGCAACATGAAGTCCAGTCAGCTTCTCCCGAGCATAATAGGCAAAGGAGCCGGTAAGTCGGTTGTGTTCAGTCAACCAACGGCGTCGAGTAAAAAATTCGCCTGCCAGAACTTTTTCTCTAGGCTCAGCGCTTCTGCGAGATCAGCAGTCGCTTGGCTGGCGTGAGTTAACCAGTGTGTAACAGCATAGGCCAAGGCTATGTCCTTGAGATATGGAGCTTCGGGGTCTTCATCAACCTCATCTTCTTCATCTTCTTCATCACTTGACTCCTCCGAGGCGACAGAATCGTTGTCGTTTTGAGATTCGTCGTCGTGATTGGTACCACCGGCGGATTCCTCTTCATCCTCTTTCTCGGTGACTTCCTGGTCGTTTGCTTCTGCTTCTCCAGAGGCAACACTATCCCCATCATCTGGACTGGCTTCTATGGCACCAGCAACCTCATCAACAGCTCCATCTATTTGCTGAGGAATATCGGAAAGCGGAAAGTCGAAGATCTCTAGGATATGGCTGAACGCTCGGAAACCCAGGATACCATGTTGTAGCTTGATATCCTCGCTGGTGAGCCCAAGCAGCGCGTGTGCATGCTCAAGAAGATGGCTCTTGACAACTGGTTCAGTGAAGCACACCGTCTTCTCTTGGAGACCATTTTCCTTCAGTACGATTAGGGGTCTACACTTCTGGATCAGATCATGAAGCTCTGAAACTTCCTCTGGTGAAGAATCGAGACCGGCAAGAAGACCAAGCTCAGCCTCAGTTGGATCTTGATAAGTAAGAACCAAGACACGAAGCATTTCCTTGATCTCACCGGCCTTACCCCGGTTGTTGTCAAACACTTGTTGCCATGCAGAGCTGAGAAGAGCATCTAACTCCTGCGGGATAACTTCTAGAAGACGACGGACTTGAAGGTCGTTCTGATGCTGAGGAAGCTCCTCGAGATGATCGCAGGTGATGTCAATCCACTGCGTGTTTTGAGCCCGCTTGCCAATAACACTGCTAGCGAAGTATGCAAGAGCTCTGCTGTACTTCTTATGCTCGATCAGCTCTAACACCTTGTTCTGTGCGTGCCTGCGAAGCTCAAGCTGGACTTGATCTCCATATTTCGCGTCCTCAAGATCAACTAGTCGGACGGTATCCCTCTTCAAAGCCCGGTCAATGTCCCAAGATTGGCCACTTGTGATCATCCATCGAACCAGTGGGCGTCTCCCAGTACCGTCATGCTCTACCTCCGAGCTGAGTAGAGTTAAGAGAGTGCTTGTAGACACAGCACCTGGTGAGAGGGATTCGATGTTGTTGATGACAAAGTATACCCTCGCCCCAATAAATACATCATCAGCGAGAATATCTTGAAGGACCTGCCATAAGTTCTCAACAGTCAAAAGAGGCTGTGTTTCTCGGCCTTTCTTCTTAAGAAGAAACTTGGCATGCGTCGCCAGAAGCCCTTGCCGTTCCAAAAGTTGACGGATAAGAGCTTTCAATAAACTCTCAGCTGATCCATAGTCGGGCGTCTTGTCGCAGAAGAAGTATGAAAGATAGTTTCGTGATGAGCCAGTGTAAGGTTCGTCGGTAATCTCCTCTTCAAAAACCTCCTCGTCCTTCGTCAACTCTTCAATCTTTTCAATAGCCGATAACGCAGCGCTGGTCTTACCGCGACCATCACGACCACGGACCCAGAGACAATCCTCTTTCTTGACAAGCGAACTGTCTTCGCCCTCACTAGGCTTAGCTAGCCAGCCCAGAAACTCTGGCTCTTTCGAGAACCATGGGGAAGTGGTTGTGTTCTGAGCAATGCTTTCTCTCTTGCTTTGGACTGGTGCACCCTCTAGAGTTCGTAAAGCAAGGTTTATAGTGGCTGGATCGGTGCGCCTTGTTGCATTGTGTCGATTCTTGACTCGCAGATGTGAGCCATTGATAAGTCGTTTCAAAGGCCCTCGGACTAATGTGTAACGTTCATCCTTCGAACTATCAAACTTGACCAAGTCTCGATGATTCGCAGCTAAACCCATTGTCTCCATCACACCATCCAGGATGGAGGAATCTCTCGTGACAAACTCTGCATACTTCTTGGGCATCGGGATGCTCAGCGCCGATAAGAACTGAGGCATACCAGATAGATCCTTAATCGTCGTAGGGTGCTCTTCATAGAAACCACACAACTCGATTTTGGGCGTCGTCTTGATCACTAGTCTCACGAACTCCTTTCGAAGCTCAGCCAGGCTTTCGTCGTCTGGCCTCATGAGCTCGAGGAGTTTGGAAGCTGTTGCATGACCAAGTTTCTCTCCGACTGAGGAAAGCATACATGCCAAAGAAGCTGCTTCAGCGCCCTTGAATGGTGTTCCAAAGAATGCGCAACCGGCTATGTCTTCGAACATGTTTGGAAAGAGGTCTTGTCTCGTTGCAGCGATACAGATAGCCTGGCATGATTAGAACCAATAGACAACGTCAAAACGATGGATCGTACCTTGGCAATAACGAGTCCTCCCATACTATGACCAATGAATGTGATTGGACGAGGAATGGCCATGTTCTAGAATGCTTGTCAAGCCAAACTCTTCGAGTTGAGTCGAAAGACGCAGAAACATACCTCTCTACTCATCTTCAACCCTTCGAGTAGAGTCTGGGCCAGGTTACCGAGAAACTGCTTCACCTTGATGGAACCAGTCCATGAGGATTCACTGTGATACAGAAGAATTCTAGCGTTTGGAAAGTCGCGAGCTATGCCCTCCTCACTGGCCCAATTAAAATCGCTCGTAGTCGATTTGAAGCTCAACAAAGGATGAGCTCCCAGACCAGGCACAAAGACAATACTATTATCGTGTTGGTGAGTCAATTGCTTCTGTAGTTATATTTTGGGTCGATGCTTACTCCATGTCCGTCTTTCTTGTCGAGTCTGGCTCTGGATAGAGCTGCTTGATTCCCTGCTCGACATTCTCGTAGCCTTTCTTCTGCTTAGGAGCAGCCCCAGGAGGGCCGCCGCGTCGCGTTGCTGTTCGACGAAGCGACATATTGGCCAAGTCGATCAAACATGTATCGATGCTGGTTGTTGTTGTTGATCTGACAACGTTGACGCCTCCTAATTTTCGTCTTACGGAGGAGTAGGTGGTGGCCACTACAGCTGCCGTTTCATTCTTGGCCCCCACATCCTGGCTTACTGGGGGTCTATGTATGTCAGCATCTGCTGAGCTTTTGCTTTTGACTCGGCGTTATGCGCTTAACATTCATTCTCCAGAGTAAGCACTTAGACAAGCCATACCTCGTTAGTGCCTCATCGATCATACATGGTGCCACTTCCCGGTCTGGTTGCTCCTTGGGGCTGAGATGCAGGGAGTGCCTAATTAAAGAAATTGGACCGTCAGCACGGCGCAGCGGCCTGTCCCCTTTTCCCGAGGTGAAATCAGTGGGCACAGAGCGGGCCGTGTGATCAAGACAATGGGGAATGCCGCTTACAGCCCAATCATGGATGGTGCTATTGGCCTCGAGAGCAGGGGTTGCCTACCAGCCTTATGACCATTACCAAGCAAGGGTCTGTCAGCTTTAATTTCCACTGTTTTCTCTGTTTACGCGAGCTTTCCAAGAGACTCGCCATCGTCAGGGCATTCGTTCTCTATTTATGCTCTGTCGCTGACTTAAATCTTACGCCGTATTCATTGAATCTAACATCTCAACATGGCTAGTCCACCGCCGCCATTTACGGTCCGCATCCTACAGAAGGACTTCCTTAGCGATGGTTTGGAGTCCAAGGATGAGTTTAATAGCCTCCTCCCTGCCAGCAACCGCTTCAACGATGACATCGTCGTTCCTACATCGGACCCCAACTTCCTAGAGCGGGAACTATCGGTTTCGCGCCTCAATGACGTGCAAGAATGGCTCTGGGCTTGCGGTCGCCCAATGCCGCCCCGGCCACTTCATCACCAACGGCTCATCTCACGAGAGATCGTTATCAGCGAGCTCTCTGAGCTGCACATGATCTGGTGGAGAAACCGCATTTTTCTCAAACCTATACCGGCTTATCTGCTTGATCCCGATTTCTGGGTCAGCAACATTAGCGACACAGCCCATCTCGACGTGACGGAAGGCAACATTGATGCCTCCGCACGGGGATTTCTCTTCTCCTACGCTGCCCTCATCGCATACAAAAGCGACTTTCGCATCGCAAAGGAGCATGGGTTATTGCCCGAGGAAGTGACATGGGAGGGCTGGAAGGCATTGACAGCTCAGGTTCTCGAGAACCACCGTTACGATCGCGTCAATCCGCGCTACTGGTACGGAGAGCTGCGGCTGAGCAGGTTGAACAAAGTCTACGCGCTTCGCAAAGGATATTTGCTGCGCGGCTACTCACGAGTCGCGTCGCATACAGTCTATGGCGATCTAATTCGCGACAATTTTTCTGTGCTTGCTGGTATTCTCGGTTATGTCGTGATCGCGCTCACGGCGATGCAGGTCGGATTGGGTGTTGATCGGCTGGTCGAGAACCAAGCGTTCCAGGATGTGAGTTATGGATTGACGGTATTTACATTAATTGTGCCGCTCATTGGAGCGCTCTTCATATTTTTCTTTGTCTTCATCATGATTGTCAGCAATTGGAGGGTCACCAAGGCATTCGAAAGTCGGCGCCTGAAGAAGATGAAGGTAAAACTCTTGCGGAAGAAATAGGCAGAAGGATTGTCGAATAAATGGAACCAATAATAAACAAGCATTGCACAAACTCATGGAGGGCAAATGGCCGGCAAAAATAATAGGACCACTGTCTGCTGAGGCAAAAGGGTTGGGACAAAAGTGTTGGATGCCTGGAACCGCTCATATCGCCTGCAAGCCAGTTGTTATGTGGAAAGATAAGCTTGTTGTGAGATGCTACAGGGCTCATGGTATGATGATCACGCTGGGGATCGAACCCAGAATCTTCTGATTCGTAGTCAGACGCCTTGCCATTGGGCCACGCGACCTGTTTCGTTGATAGTGGCCGCTCAAATGAAGGGCTAGATCGCTGCAGCACCCAAATTCGCGCATCGAAGCATTGCTTATTTATTTCTTGAGAAGAACTCTTTATTTTTTATTCGAAATCCGTACATTAGGCTTGAAGCACGAGTTTGAATCATTCTCGAGGTGGAGATTCCTGGTGATGCATCCCATGAGGTTCATTTGTGCATGATGCTTGTCGACAAACGGAAAAACAGAACGAGCCCAGCAGAAGCCGTTATATCATGCAACAATTACAAAAGATATAGAGACTACTATTTAAATTGTAGCCTTTATGCTCAGTACAAATGGCGAGCTGTTTTATATGGCTTAGTGCTAAGACTGCCCATTGATACTGTTATGTAGGGTAAGTCGATGAATGAATGAGGCGGGGAGCTATTTCACTTGGTCCTCTTGCCCTGTACTACCGCCATAGCCACAGAGGTATAGTCGATCTACTTGCATAGCAAGGATATTAAGCATGTCTTGGGACCAGATGGTCTTCTTTAGTATATTCTAGATTAACAATATCGCTTTGACGTATTGGTGGAACTCCATGAGCGCAAGCTTGGTTACCGGTAAGATGCATCAAGTAAATTGCCAGGTAAAGTGATTGGAGCGCGCGCAGGTTTCTCCTGGCGATGTCTCCAAGGCAAGCTGAAGCCTTTTTTGGCCTCCCAACCAAATCGCGACTGTGAGCTTCCCCAAGCATCCCTACCAGCATTCCCCCGGGTCCCCCTTGACAGCACTAACATTGCCGTGAGGTCGAAGTTACAATCAGGTCTGGCGAGAGAAAACCTCGTACTGGGGGGAGGGGGAAGCGACGAACCGAAGATTTGTCTAGAGTCAGAGGACACGGAAACAGCCATCTCGTAAGACAGTTGATTAGGAGCGAGACGTATATATTACATTGGGGATAGAAGTGATAAAGGAGTGGTCATAGCACCAAAGATGTTGAGGGCAGCTCTTGATGTGGTCTCATCAAGCCCAGCAGAGCCTACTCCTCTACACTAGGCCTCATTGCTGCCAGTCATTACTCGAGCCATTGCAGACAAGTGATCCGCCTCTTGTATGTGTCTTGCCCTTTGATCCGAGTAGACCTCTGGGTTCTACCAGCAGGCCAGCTACATAGGATCATTGCCTGGCTCGGTGTATACCTCGCGCTCTTCGCAGTAAAGGGGCGTACACTAAACCAAGCGGTCCGGCTCAACGTGGATAGTTGACAAAGACAGAGTCAGTTCATCACCAGTTACCCACCTCCCTATGCTTAACTTGATAGCCAACATATATCGACACTATGGTCAAGACAAAGCTGCCAGTCTCTCTTTTAGGAAGGTTATCATACCCAATTCCGAACCAAGACAAACAGTCTCTCGTCCTTTATATTCGCTGCTACTGCACCTCGGGCCACTCAGCTAACAACTAATCGACATCGTGGCCACACAAGCCCCCCGATGTTGATAAATGTATTTCTAGTGATGATATCGCAGGCACGCCATTGCACGTCAATACCCCCAAATTGTATCTTCTTTCGCAGTCTTGATCAGCCACTCACGGCAGACATAGTCGACCCGTTTCGCGTGCATTGGTATCTCAACAGGCGAGACATCAAGAAGCCCAGCTGGATCGTGAATATGTCCGTTTTCCGTGTCAATAATAGGTGAGCTGAACTCATGATTGACAATGACGATCTTCAAGGGCCGAGCATAGGTCGAGTCACCTCCAAACTCGGGGTTCCAAAGTTCGCTGCCAATAGACTGCTTGATGTTCCAAGTCTGAACACGAAGCAAATAAGGTCTCGTGACAACCAGATGCTCAATGTTTCGGTGTAGTGCAACATTGTACCAAAGTCCTTCGTCACTCAGGTTGATGCTGAACCCAGCGACTTTTCGTAGCTTGGGCCAAATTTGGCTGACGTTGAGCTCACTCCTCCAGAACTCTAATGAAGGCAGGCCGCCTAAGGTGACAAATTCTTCAAGGTTGATCAACGCTCGTAGACCTCGAGAGAAGACTTGATCGATATGCGCATCGATGCTATGCTGCATAGCGATTCTGCGAAACGGCAAGTCAACGATCAATCGACGGACAGAGCTGCCGAGTTCCAGGAAGACATCTCGGACGAGTGCACTGGCTCGTATTGATTGGATCTCCTCCAGGCTGAGTCCAAGATAGATGGACGGCACTGCAGAAAGTAGGAGGGTTTTGGGAAGAGAACCCGCTTCCACAGTCTTGGAATAGGTTAGGCAGCGCAAGAATTTCTGGAGTCGAGGTATCGAATCAAGATGTACACAGTGCTGCCGTAGAAACCTTGTCGCGGGCTCGTAGGTCGCGCGACATACCCTTGTCCAGGTGACGAGCTGCTGAACTTCGGGGGTTGCAAGGTCAATAATCCGGTTGGGTTCACCGGGCGGGATGGACGTTTCAAGGATCTGAAGGACGATCTCGAGGGGGATATAAAGATTACGCGTCATATTGAAAGAGTATAAGAGATTGGGGTGTTCTTTGAGGCTGTGTTACGTATGTTTGCTGCGTTGAGACCGAAGCCATCATTAAGAGGCTGCCGTTTGGTCGTTGCCTGCTAGGCTACGATTTAATGTCAACAAGCAACGGCCAATCTCTCCACCGGAAAAGGATGAATTGATTCAGGCACCAGAATTAATTGTGCCGGCTATAACTCGGCCAAAGACAGCGACCGCTGGGCCAGTCTGCTTCAGTGCTGGCAGCTGGAGGCGAACAGCGGGATCAACTGGTTTTAGCGGCATGCTCCAGCGGAGCGCTAGCGGAGGAAATCTGTGGAAGCTGGACCTAACTAACGGAGACCGAGAGCGCAACAAGGGCCCGTCCTTCTTTCACAACAACTATCGTAGAGCGACTACATAACTTCTTATCAAGGTTCTGTACTCGGGCGTCAATCCTGCCGATACCAAAATCATTGACTTCTTCGGCTTGAAGAACTTCGTCATTGGAACAGAGTTCTGTGGCGAGGTCCTCGAGTCTAAGACACTTGCCTCCACGTCCTTCAAAGCAGGCGACATTGTGGCTGGAGTACTTTCTTGGGGCCAAAACCCACCATTGCGTTGGGGAACGCACCAAGAATTTATGACAATCGTTGCATCGTGGGTTTGGAAGGTTCCCGAGAACTCACCGCCCCAAGCCGCTGCTGGTCTTTCCATCGTTGGTAATGTTGTGACTGCCCCAAATCGAGAGCGCCCTCTCAACTAACAGTACATAGGGCTGACAGCGGCCACTGGCCTTTTCAACGACATTGGCCTTCCACTACCACCGAGTGTTGCACAGGGTACGTCTGATGAGGGTGCCGCTGCCCCAGAGGGAACTTTAGTCATCTGGGGCGCTGCAACAGGTGTTGGCATGGCTGCTGTTCAGTTTGCCCGGGCAGCGCGAGTGTCTTCCATCATCGCCATTGCCTCTTCTAAACGACACGAATATCTGAACACGCTGGGTGCAACGCAGACCTTCGACTACAACGATACAGATGTAACCGAAAAGGTCAAATCAGCCCTGAAGTCAACCAGCGGAACAATATGGGCCCTTGACGCGCGTGGATCTCCCGAGTCACAAGCCCTACTCAAGAAAGCGATTCCCCAACACGATAAAGCTGTTCTTGCTTCAGTGATGCTGGGCGGCGATCCAGGGTATAAAGGGATCATGGGGGCTCGCCATTTCGATGTCGAGTTCGAGTTGCCTGGGGGTCAAAAGATGACCTGGCGCAAGGACATGGCTGCTGCTGATCGACACTGGAGGGGCTTTCGCTGGGCTGCCGAGAATTATGGTGCCCCCGGCGGGTATGTACCAACGCCTGTACGTGTCTTTGAAGGATCTGGAGAGGATGCCATCAAGGAGGTGTATAATGTAAAGAACATGGGCACTTTTGGAAAGTTGGTGCTCAAGCATCCTCTGAAACAATTGGATCTATATTGGTATGATAGACAGATGTGGACTGGACTAAGTTCTCTGGGCTGATTTAAGTTCTCACTCGCAAGCCTCAACTACAAACAACACATCTAGTTCAAAACTTAAAGACGATTAGCACCGGACCATGAGTGATAGTGTACTATTCCAAAGATCTCGTTCGCCGGTATGGTGAAACTCAAGTTCTATACCACTATATGTAAAGAATAATTATCATACCTGTGGCTGAGAGCTTATTCCAGCAGAGAACCTAGAACAATTATCACTAATAAGCCAATAACGCCATCTTACATGAATGCCAATGAAGTATGTCACGAGGCCTGTGGCGAGAACTTCTAAGCGCCATACGGAACCTAAAAAGAGGAAGGTTTTAAGTGTGAAGTATAGATGTGGCCATCAGCTATATAAACAGACACTTTGAGAGAAACAACCCCTCTCTATCCATTTTATTTCATAAATTCCAGTTCGAGTATTCACAGCCACCACCAACACCCAGAATGAGTGCCGAAATCGACCCTTCTAACCAGTCTTTGTGGTACGAGGGCCTCCAGAGCGACGTCTTCTGGGTCTTCACCATCCTTATTATACTCCATAGCATCTGGTCAGAACGGCAACTCGTATTACTCACCTGGAAAGACAAAGGACAAGAAGACACCCAATCCAGCGCGACTCCGCCGAAGCCACCCTTGGGCATCAACTTCAAAGATCAGATTACCTCGCGTCTTCGCCAATATCTCGTCTTATTATTTTGCGCCTTGCCAATCCCTGGCCAACTGGCCCACGGCTTGGATGTCCTCAAAATTATATGGCGGCTATCTGTGTCACTGGTCCAGTGGTACTATCCGGTTGATACCAGGCCATTTCTGTTGGGCATTATCATGTTCTCTCCTATCGCTATCCCTCTGCTCGTGGCCTGGCTCGTGGTAGTGGGCACGGGGTGCGCGATTGTCTTGATACAGATTCGACTTTTTGTCGAAGTATGGAAACTAAAACCTAATGCGCGACCTGATCTTTCTCTAGCTTGTAAAGAGGAAGTTTAATAGGATAAAATCTTGGAGGGTGAACGGGAGGGTGAAGAAGAACTAGCCTCGGCCACACAAGCTATCTTAGCAACGTAACCCTCCTCGACCCAACCCTTGCTCTTCGCCTGGCATCGACGCGAGACGGATGGGGAGAAAGATTCGAGAATTCAACTAGATTGAAGATGAATCTGAAGCCTTTCTGGCCTCATTCCTTGCCATGAATGGACCCTGCAAATATGAGAACCAGTCTCACCTCCTTCCAATCAGCCCATAAGCTACTCCCTGTATGTTGATATTTCCTATGTTGAACATCAAGGCTACGGTACTAATAACAGGGCAGCCCACATGTATGCTGTCTCAAAGGGCTTAGTGGCTGTGGAATCGTGAGGACTTGGTCTGATCGACAGCAGCAGGGTCCGACCTTGTCGACATGGGATAAATGGATGTCATCACGGGATTCAAGGAAGCAAAAACTTCACCCTGTCGTTTATTCTTAGAATGTATTGTGCTTCAATTAGATAGCTCTTTTAATAGCTGCGTTAAACCCCATGGAAGGTCGTCAAATGACAAAGTACCACTTTCTAATCCTTCAAAGACTTTCTCGTAAATATTCGCCACCTCCCAACTGTCCCAGACTCCTTCGCGTCTATTCATAGACCGTAATATCGTGATCGATCTGTTCCGGATTTCGGCGTCTGTACATGAAGCGCAGATTGTAGAAAGCTCGCGAACCAGATGACCATCGAAAGCAAACATTGGCCGGGTCTGAGAGTTCTCTAGCGCAATAATCTGCTCAATCTTGCTGAGTATTCTTTCGTAGTCACTCTTCGCAAATCCTGTGTTGTGAGGGTCGGTATTGAGAAAAGCTGACCATGTTGTCTGATACAGCGACAGCACAGCCAAGCGGCGTTTCTCCAGGGTTCCAAATGGAGTTATCTGGACCGACATGACAAATACTTGCATCCTTGAACTCCATGAAAGGAAGAGGGGTTTTATTAGATCGAGGGCATGGATGAAGGACTCAGTGGCTGATTGCGCAAGACTCTTGCAGCCAATTGTTTGATCGTCGTCGGGGAGAGTGTCGCTGCCAAAGAGGCAGTTGTCGAAGAACGCATTCAAGGCTGAAAGAGAGTCTTCGGCCTCTGTGATAGTTAAGAAAGGCGTTTTGGGATTACCCATATCTATCTCTGGTGAGCACTGAGTGATGTTGGAGAAGGAGATGTCTCCTGTGAATGCACCGACACTCTTTCCGAGAGAGGAAAACATTGCAGTTAACGTTTTCAACAATCCAGTGTCTCCTGCCTGACAACTCATTGCATTCGTGGATATATCAGGTGATCGAATGGCGCGTAGTGATCTTATAAGTTGATGACCGGCGCGAAGATGTCGCACCGAATCAGCGTAACGACGGTGTAAGTTCTCGATGCATATAAATATCGTACAGCATAGTAATGCAGTTTGTATATTGGGGGCAGAATTCTCTGCCATGACTGGGCGTATTAGGGCAATAGCTTCGCTGTATTTGAGATTCGCTTGATATTCGTAGTCGATGGAATGGTTCAAGTTGGTCAGATTCCCCGGGTATGACGCAAGGAACCGCTGATGGGAAGCCCCCAGTGCGCATAGCGCGTGTTTGATGGCTGTGTTTGAGTAAGATAGTGGTAGTATGATGTCGTGCCAGAACTCTCTTGAGCCATCGATCATCTCGAGGTCGGGAATCACCCACTCCCTGGTATGATAATAAAGGGCGTTATCAGCTGCATTAATCATCACTCCGTCTGTCAGAGCTGAGCGCAATATGCTGGGTCCGCTGGTCATTTCTTCTGACTTTGGATGCAAAGGCAGCTCAAGGGAGGAAGTGCCGCTGATGTAAGGCGGCTCGGGACTACTCTGCGAATAGCCATCGCATGTCCATTTGTCTCTCAAGCAACGAAGACAGGACGGCTTTGCTTCGTCGCATTTCAAGTGGCGACGTCTGCAACACTAGATTAGCCCTGCAGCTCGTGCCATTCGTTCTTATCCGAGTAACTGACTTGCTAGATTAAAAATCAGCCGGGTTTTCTTCTGCCGACCCAAGGACGCAGAAACTTACCAAGTTTTGCAACCTGTTCTGACCTTGGGAACCTTGGCCCTGGTTCGCTTCTTCCGTGGTTGATCATGAGGTTGTATGGTGGCCATGGTGATCCGTTTGTTACGAGAGGGCTAACCAGAGCTACATATCGGGGAGCCTGAATGGACTTATAACATCACCAGCATGAATAGGGCTGTGCTAGCTCATGATAGTTGACTCGTCCAAGCGTTTGCTACAGCCCCCATGTCCGCGGGCCACCGTAGCCTGTGAGCTCATTGGTACTGCCGTAACTCGACCCACCATGGGCCGCTGTTTCACGTCGCCGACTCAGCCGAGAAGCGAGATGCTCTTTTAGCGACTTTTCCTTTTTAATGTTGGAGTATTTCGTATTCCCGAGGGCTCTAGCTCGTGTCAAGAGACTACTTGCCGGATCTGTACTAATGCGTGTTTGAAGTGACAGTCTTGTCTTAATTTATCCCCGCGCTAGTCCTCGATATCCGTGCTACAGGGCTAGCCAACATCACAGCCACCACGGTTATGTCACAGCGGTATCGAGGCGCCCGATGGTGATTGGGCACCTGTACTAACATGGAACTTCACTTCATCCCATGATGGACCGGCGTAACGAAGTGCGGAGGGTTTCCCCAAGCGGCTATCCCTGTAGGTTAAAGATATGCTTGGAAATATAATTGGAACTAGGCATCTTTTGGATTTGTTACGACAGATCCAAAGCTATCGTAATGGCATCACAATGAAGATTTCTCAATGACCAAGGCTTGTGGCCCTTCCTGAGGTCCTCGCGTTTCCTAGAACCACATCTCCATCAATATAAGTTGACGGATCTTGCTGACGAACCACAATGGCAAATCAACAATCATCATGCTTCAGCTCAAGAGACTACCATGGTCAACAGTCGCCGTTGCTCTAAAGGCAGTCACTGTTCTCTTTGGCATCCTACTTTGCTACCAAGCCTACACCTTCTACGGCGAATGGAGCTGGCCGAAATCCTTTAGTTACGGCGCCAGACAAGATCCTGTTTCTCTTATTCACTCCCATGGCGGAAGCCAATGTTTACCCTCTCTGAACTCCTCCCTTTTACTAGAAGCAAAGACCATACGAAATGCATGCCGACATATGCCTCTATACCCATCCTCGGACGTACGAATCGGAAGAGTCACTGCACACTTTGGCTCGGTCCAAGAACACTACCAGAAGGCGCTGGCTACGCATGTACTGCATAGCATGATCCATGGCAACGACCTGGAAGTTATGTGTACTCCAGTGGTTGATTCACTCTGGAACAAACCTGCTTTCATCCTGTCTCTCCTCTTGAAAGAGGTGGTGAAGCCTGCTCAAGAACGCTTGGAATGGCTATTCTGGGTGGACCGAGATACCCTCATTCTCGATCAGTGTCGCCCTTTATCGAGCTTTCTCTCGCCTCGCGACGCTGATGAGTCTGACGAAACCGAAGACACAGACACTTCCGAGTCCGAACGAAGAGACGAGACAAATTACGACGATATACATCTCTTGGTGACAAACGACTGGAACGGCCTTAACAATGGCGTTTTCTTCGTCCGGGTTAATCAATGGGCAATTGAGCTGTTCAGCGACATCGCTGCATTTCGATACTACAGACCCAACGTCTCACTTCCATTTACCGAGCAAAGTGCGATGGAGATCATTATGAACGAACCAAAGTTCAGACCCAACGTTCGAGTTGTCCCTCAAGAGTGGTTCAACACTGATCCTAAAGGGTCGCCCACAGACTTCGTTGAGAAGGCGGACGAGGATGACTTGAAGGACTACCATGCGAGACGAGGAGACTTCCTACTGCATTTTGCAGGTCGTGGCGGACGAGATAAGTTGATCGATGAGTGGACAGAGATGTTGGAGGGCACCAGAAGTATATGGCCGAAAGAAGAGGTTCAAAGGAATGCGACGACAAGTATTCGGGGGTTCTGGTCCGGGCTTTGAACCATAGACATGAGAAACAATCGGGAAGTGGTTTTATCAACATACGCAATTAGATTTCATATTACTCTTAACATTAATTCATAATACTATGATTTAAGCAAACACATATGTTATAGCAAGAAGAAACTGGTTCGCATTATGAACTACTGCTCCTCCTGTAATTACCCGAGACGCATTTCTGACCGCCCCCGGCCTGGAGGTACATGTATAAAGACAGTCTAAGAAAGAGCCTATAGCCAAGAAGAGACATACCTACATATTTTTGCAAGAAGGGTGAATTGCAAGGACTGCAAGCTTTCTCCTGCACCGTGATCGCCATCGTGTTTGCAAGCTGATCTGAGTAAGAACAGTCAGCGGTTTCGGAGAATTTCTTCCCTGATTGCACATTAAACAATCATACAATTGACACGGTTCCGTGGTCTAGTTGGTTATGGCATCTCGTTAACACCGAGAAGGTCCCCGGTTCGATCCCGGGCGGAACCACATTTTTTGCCCCAAGCCCATCGTGAGATAGGTATTTTTGCCCCGGTTTGGTGTTGGGGACATTCCCAGCAGCTTGAATCTTGGTTAAGTGGTAAGATCGAAGGTGAAGCGGTAAGGAATTTTTTGTTTTTTGCATTGAATGCCCTCTAGGTATATGAAAGCCCGTGGCTTGAGACACCTCCACCAACGTCTGCCTCGCCCATACCAAGCAACTGATGAGGCTTGCCTGAAAACAGAACAACGTAAAAACCCACAGAGAAGAGACGCCTGATTAGCATTCGGGATCTGCAATCAGCCTGCCAAGGCCGGTCAGGTTATCGAGGCCAGACTCTTGGTGGCGTGAGACGCACGAATGAACGACGAATTGTTTCGCTAAATTCATGGCGTTCAATAACCATAAAATTAAGCCTTTCAGCCTCACAGGGGAAGATATGCTGCTAAGCCATTTGCGACTTACCAACGCTCGTCAAATTCAGCCCTACCATTAATCGTCTTTGTCTTGGGACCGTACCATGCTTCATCCGGTAGTCAGAAACGAGATGCTGATGCGTGGCATGGCAAGTTCCGCTTGGAAGGACTCACACGATAAAAATGAGGCTGAAGAGCTGAAAGCCCTGAAAGGGAGGACTGACTTTGGGCTGCAAGTGGCTGGCTGCGACGATGTTCTGGGTCCTTGGCATCTAACCACGAGTACAGTACCTCATGAGAACGACAGCCAATTTTGAGTACTTAATACAGTTGTATATCCTCCACTCGTCAGATAAATCATCATCCCTTTCTCAACCCTCACTCAGAAAGGATTTGAAATGAAGGCCTTTTCATTTTCCATACTCCTCAGTGCCCTTCTCCCACACACCGATGCTGCAGAGCAGAAGCACATCGATGAAGCCTGTAATGATGTTTCGGGAATCATTGGATGTAGTAGCACTGTTTTGTATCCGGACTACCCGAGAGCCCTTTCTGGTAAGATAACGCAGCTTCCAACTCTTGTCCCAGCTAACATCAGTCATATAGACAGCAGCGGTAATCAATATGGTACAGAAATTGTGCCTAAAGATGTCGATATCTGCACCGCTGTCTCGGAGGCACTTGGCAGTCCCGAATTTGTGGATAACGCCGAAACGTATTGCTCTTGTCTCTCAAATGCCATTTATTGGGGTACCAGTTCAAATGCCAAACCAAGCTATGACGGTCAGATCAATGCGCATCTAACGAGTGGATACCTTGACGTGATATCCAGGGAGGAAACAGTAAGTCAACTTGACCGTGTCCTACACGTCAATCTCTGACTGTTCAAAGTGTCTTATCGACAGTGGCTACAACGTAGTGACGGACAGGGCATCGGTAGTCAGGAACCAGCTTGCAGCAACAAATGGGTGGACTATCCTTCGAGCCCCTGAGGTATGACGACCCATTGACACGGTCGGTGTTGTCGTTGCAAAGCCACTAACAGAGTTCCAGATTGATGTAGCAACGTACAAGAAGCTCGCCAAAGCAGTAGCGTCCTGATATACGGGAACGTGTGACGGCCCCAAAGTTCGTCAATTTTTCGCCAGCTACGTTCAAAACTCATACAGCGTCACCGAAAGCGATTTCGTCGGGATGCTCAACAAATGGGTTTCCTTGTTCGACGCTCTCAAGAAGAAGACAACAGATGTTCAGACCTATTCGAAGCAAGTCCAAGCGCGTCTCAAGACTGTTTCCGCCAAAGTCAACTCAGTCAAGGCCAATGTCTGCAAAAACAATGCCTGCAAGGGGTCGACGCCAGCCAATGCGTTCAAGAAGTGTAAGACATATAGCATCAAGGCATGGAGCAGTGACTAACTATCGATAGATGCAAGCACAATCACAACAGTCAAGAGCCTGCAAGGCGTTCCTAGTGCTGCAGGGAAGTCACTCGCGAACATCCCCAAGATGAAGCAGATTACACAAAATGCCATCAAGTACACCACAACTCCAGCGGATGAGGCGTACTATCTGAAGTTGATGAATGAATATCACATCAACTCTTTGAGAGACGTCATCAAGGCCTTTAGAGTGACTCAATATTTTCCCCAGGCAGCAGATGATCTGAAGAAGCTCACTGGGACTTTCAACCTCATCAGCAACCATGCAGGCGCCGCTAAGACTGCTGCCACGTCTATCAATCAGATTCTTTCTGTCAATTGGGCCAAGAACTCCCAGTTATCAAAAACGGCATCTGGTCGCAAAGTCCGTGATGGTCTTATCAGCATCCAGAAGAGCTTTAGGAATGACCTGAAAGGCCCCCTTGACAATCTCATCAAGGCCAACAAAGCAGTGGAAGACATCCTCGTTCAGCTACCTCTTCGGAAGAAGAGACTTGAGTTTTCGTCTGGTGGTGTCTCTTACAGCCGCTGGATCGAGGCTAAAATGCCTGTGCCGTGCAAGAAAGAGAAGACATATTCTAGGTACATTGGGCGCTTCGAGGGGACAATGACCTACCAGGAAGTCCAAGCTTGTGAGTTTGGACCGCAAAAGGTTCCGTTCATTAAAACTGTTGTTCCATATATGAAGTATCGCTTTGTTTGATATCTTGTCGACCTTTGATGGAGCATCGTTGGATAAGGCTTTCACAAGGTGCATGGGCAATTCGTTTGGGGATCTATGGACAATGCAGACCAAGATAGCTCTTTATAGAGGCTCTACACTTAGGCAAAGAATACTGAAGCTCTTTTGTAGTAAACTTGTTGCTCTCTGCCCCCATTGTCTGCTGGTATGTGAGCGAGAGTAAGCTCAATACCCCGTATCCAAGACATGATCTCGATTCTCCAATGTCACTCGCCAATCACTGGCTAGTCGCGGCTTAGCCCTAATCTTATCTTTCACCGCTGTCTTTGCTTTTCATCATCTTCCATTCTTTTTGACGTCCCGTGATACCCTATTACCCCATGAAAACACCAACCCCGCAAACTGCCCCATGATCCGGGGAGATTCGGGGCGCTAGTCCGGGCCGGCTGCACACCTATTAGCTAACGGTTTCCTCTACAGTCGAGAAAAGTCTGAGTTTTAGCTCCTGCACTTTGACGCCACTGCATATGGAAATTAATGCGGTAGTAGTCATGGGTTAACTATTACCTAAATGTTGAGACGCGGGTCGAGAGAAGGGAAGGGAAGAAAACTCTGCATACGCAGGGAGAATGAGGATGTATCTATAAAAGGCGGTCATGCCAAGTCTTGAGGCTCAGTGTTTTGTAGAACATCTTGATAAGATTTGATAGCGTGAGATTTATCGAAAAGCCGAAAAAAAAGAACATCATGGCCACCAAGAGTATTGAAGAGATCCGCTCTCACTCACCCAGCCCTTCGGCTCTGAGTCTGGGCCAATGCATCGGCAATCCTGTATATCACCTAACATGTCTTCTACCTAAACTACAACTAACAGAAGTAAATAGTCTCCACTGGCCATGGGCACCTTCGCCACTACGCTTCTCACTCTGTCTTTGTCCATGATGGGCTTCCGTGGAGTCGAGACCCAGACAATCTTCATTGGCAACCTTTGCTTCGCCGCTGGCCTTTGCATGTTTGTCTCTGCTCAGTGGGAGATGGCCCGTGGTAACACCTTCGGCTACTCTGCGTTGAGCGCCTATGGTGAGTGCCCAAAACAAATTTCGACGTAGAAGCTGTGATCCAGGTCTAATCACTTCTCTAGCTGTTTTCTATGGTGGTTACGGCGTCATACTGTGCCCATCACTTGGTGTCCTTGACTCTTATGGAGGACCGACACCCGAGTATCACAACGCGTTGGGATTCTACGTTCTGAGTAAGTCTCCATTGATGCTCATATTGATCCGACTGCTAATGTTCCTGTAGTTTGGGCGGCCTTGACGCTGTTTTTCATGCTTGGATCAGCTCCTATGTAAGAGTTCTGGTATTATTTGATCTCCAGAAAGCTGACAAACTTTAGTAATCTGGTCTCCTTTGGCATCTTTACCACTATCTTCTTCTGTTTCACCCTTGACGCGGCCTCCAACTTCGCCCACGCCGATGGAAAAGTCGAGGTTGCAAAGAGCCTCATGAAGGCTGCCGGTGTCTTTGGATTTATTTCCGGTCTCTTGGGATATTATAGCTGTGCGGCCGCTATGTGCGCCGATGCACTTCCATTTGAGCTGCCTTGCGGGGACACTTCAAGATTCTTCAAGAAGACTCGCAAACAACTGTAGCTAGGTAGTTACTGGTCGGTGTCATAAGTTTTTCTAATAATTGCTGAGCCCTCAAGCGAGTTTCTTCGGAAGTCTTGAGCTAGCCGCTGTGCTTGTCCGGGGTCGGCTGGGAGGGCACGCAAAGCGAATGTTCCTACATCGATGAGCAAAGAGTCAAGTGAACGGGTCAAGTACTTACAAAAAGCCAGGTAAATTGAGAAACCTCACTCTAAGGTGTGAAGAGAATGTCGTGGAGTGAGAACAAGAAGGGAAGCAACGTACTTGCTTTGACTGATAGATAATGAAAAGGAATAGTGCGTAAGGGAATGATGCCATTCCTCCGCTATAAACACTATAGTCCATGACCTCGAAATGCTCATGGTCACTCGCGATTCAGTTGGTCTCGCCAGTCTCTTCGCCCCAGAGTTTCGCATTGTCGAGTTCTCGTCACCATATGAGACACAGGTGGCAGTCAAGAAATTGTCCGAAAACACTTGCAAAGGGAGGCACCTCAAGACAGCCATCCCTCACTGTCGGAGTGTAATCCAATACGGGACCTTCGTTAGATTGATCTAACAGTCCATAGCGACCTGACTCCCACGTCGTCGCGCCGAAGCTGAGCCTATCACTACCACGACAGAGCCTGTTATTGAGTCACGCCGTGTCGAGCAGCTCTCGTTGACCCATACCGTGGCATAGAATTCACCAGTAGAAGACTGCAGTTCTGGACATGAAGCCGATCCGAAAAGACTTGCAAGAGCCGAAATACCCTGAGGCGTATGCGTGCTCTGAGCACTGTTCCACATGTGACGCCGAGAGAGTGCTTGTGGAAATGATGCCGGAGCTCTGGAGGAAAAATGCTTTCCTGACAAATGTGGTGGTGAGAGATGATGACCGTTTTCGCGTTCTCACAAGCTGACACCTCTCCTTTTCCCTTCGACAACAGCAAGCAGTGTTCGACTTTCTGGAAGTATGCCAAGAACATCAAGTCGGACTAACGGCAGAAGAAGCGCATCGCCCAATCTGATCTTTTAAGTTATCTGGAAAGTGTATGGCACGGGTGTTCAAGGGCCAGGCATCTCCAGAAGATGGCACTGGCAGTGGTCATCTCAATGTCTGCAAGGTTGGGATATCAACGCACCAGACAATCTACTGGGATTAGCCAAGCGGAAAGGTCTGGTATCAAAATTCGGCTGAATTTCTTCTTCCTACTGCTTCCGTTAACGTTCTTCCCTCTGGTGCTTGACGAGGCCATCGCAATCGTAACAGGCGATCGGAAGAACTCGGTGCTGGTCTTTCTCTACTTTTGCTACATACAGCCTTTTTTTTGTGTAGACGGACACGTTTCATGTTAAAGTTGCCATCACTTAGTGCTCATTCAAAACTATACAGAGGTAACTACAGTGCCTAAATGCCAGAGTATAAATCGTTCATTTTCATTGTTCAGCCCTATGAAATGCACCTAATTCTTCGTCTAAGCTATGAGCTCGATATGTTATTTACAATTGAGACTTGTGGCTGAGAGCATATTCCGGCAGACAGAACCTAGCTCCTTGCTCCTCTAAGCTTTAGCATTCTTATTCCACCTTCCGTCTATTATAAAATCTCAAGACGAGACAGATCTTCTGATCTCTGCCTGCTTTAGCTGATAGTTGTAGTACCGTAAAATTTCACAAGCCAGAACTCAAACACCCCTAGCCGACCAAGTATCAAACCCGCTCCTTCTCTTGATACCCCCCTTTTAGTGATTGAGGCCGCAGAAGGAATTTTGACTGTTTACGTTCTGGTATCCCACACTGACATGACCATTGGAATTGTCCCGGCGAGCCCAGCCTGCCTTGAACGTACCACACCGGCTGCTCACACTTTCCTGGATCTGCTGGCGAACAATCGTTGCGCTGCAGGTGGTGCGTCCGGAAGTATTGTTACAAAAGTAACTGGCAACCCTACCCGAGATAACGTAGTAGTGATCGCGAGGCTGGACAGTGTGGCCACTGCCGCACCCGTCTCTCAACAGTTTGACCGTAAGGTCGGCATCATTGCGATTAAGTGATGAGCCTTCACAAGTGACTCGCCAGCTTTGGCGCTTGTCCAAGTCCGATGAGGTGTCGGTGCCTTCGCCTGTCGGCTCAAGGTTCATATTAACCTTGGTATGATGGGCAACCCCATCATCGTCGATATGAACCCGGTAGAATCCGCCTGGGGTATCTTCAGGGATAGTGAAACCCTCCTCCACGGAGGCTCCAGGTACATAGAAGCGTTTCATGAGCTTCGAATCCTCGGCCTGGGGTACGGCGAGCCCAAAGGCCGAAGAGGAGAGAAGTGCCGGGACGAGGATCGAGAAGTGCATATTGACTATAAGTATTGCTATTGGGTTGAAGTAGCTGTTTGTGGAAAGGATATGATTTAGAGAAGCAGGTGTTTGAACTGTGAGATGCTTGGGCTTGCTGTAGTTTTCTACCTGAAGTCCCTACCTACTTATATATACATTTCACAACGCCGCAGTCATCGTGGGCTTGAAGTCGGATCCAACATGACACGGGACATTAACCCTACACAAGCATAACACCAACTTTCGTTTCTTCCATAACGGGTTGAGGCCCCCAACGTTGTACGGTGATAGGGCAAGGATATGATGTTTTCTTGTGGCACGAAATGCACAGTAGAGGGGCGAATCCGTGAAGGTTCAAGGAGCTTTGATATTCAGACGAAGAACAGAAAACGCCGCCTTACATAATGAGGTTGCTTTGCTGTCCGGTAAGTAAGCGAGCCAATCGTTATGACATGGGATCTTGGTGCTTCACGTATATGTGGCTAGAATAGGAATTGCCAAGAGTCACCAAGCGTAGAAACTGTTACGGGCCCATTGGCATCCGAGGAATAGAGCATCATATGGTATTCTGGACCCCTGGAACGCTTTGATGCAACGGCGTGGTGTAAAAAAGGGACAGTGGGTCGCTACAGGAAGAACCGGAATAAGAAAGACTGCTATGCCATTAGGTTGCAGCGAGTCACTAGCCAGCACCATTTTACCGTGGCTCGTTCCCGAGAGAGCCGAGCATCAAATAAGTCCGAATGCAGGTGTTCTAGACAAAGTCCTAGCAAGATAGATTTTAGCAGTGAATATTGTAGCCAGAGAAACATGATAAAGAACACATATTTGGAGAGAATCTATCATTGCTGAGGCAGGTAGCTCAATGCTAGTCAGGAGAGTCCAGATGTCGATGTGAAGTTGACAAGCATCGAACATAACTGGAGCACATGCTTTAACGCCTTTACAATCCCCCTCACCTCTTGCTCAGGTATCAATATTGCCGTGCCGCCTTGGGCTTACGCCAAGAGTTGTAAAGAGCTGATGTAGCCTGCGTATGAACTCACCTGAAGCTAAGCCAGGTTCGGAAGCTCGGTATTTAACAGGGCGCCAGTTCAAAGCCCTTTTGAGCTTGGCAGAAAGGAACATAGTGGCAGTCCAGAAGTGCACCACTAAGGGCATATTCGCACATGTGACATGGCGTGGTCCTGAGCTAGCAGGATGTTGACTTTGGTGACAACATGAAGACAGAACTAGCATACAGTAAGGTTCTCAGTTTATGAGGTTACTAACACATATTTACATATCTCAAACAGATCAGCTTAGCTAGGAGAGGCACGAAAATATATGACCTCTATCCTAAGTGACGAAAATGTTGAGGCCGCTTTGACGTAAATATAGGATACTCTGTACTGAACTTAGTTGCAGATTCTCTTCTCAACTCTAACGTATTCTTGCTCTACGAGGGTTAGTTCCACTCAGTGAGTGGAGAGCGAACCCATCAGCATCTGTCCAAACCTTTATTGTTGAAACTACCATGACTGTCACTTAATCTTGCTTTCACTGGCAGCAGAACAATGGAAGCGCCCAGCTTCTACCTGCCCAAGTGCCGACAGAAGACTACATAAAGTCTTATGGCGATGGAGTCATGGAGATAAAAGACCAAGTTATTCCAAGGATAGCTTCAGAGGGCGCCATGGCACATGCCAAAGACACCCTTTCATACGACGACTACATACAATGTCAAGGGTCGTCAAATCAAGACTCGGGGAGAATGGCCAATACTGTATGGATGATTGTAGTATGATACACGCAAAGCTTGAGACGTTGATGAACTTTGACGAGTAAAGCAAGAAAGGATAAAATGGCCTCCGTACAAATGGAAGAGGGCAACCTGCCTTGCGGCGCTTCCTTTGCTTATCCACAGACCCTTTTTCATCGCCTCACGGCACCCACGTCACTCGGAGGGGATACCACCAGAAGCGACGGCAAATCCAACTCACCATGAGGGGCGCAATATATCCGTATCTCACATTCTGTCCTAATTCACCAGCTATAAAACATAGATCAACTAGATAGCACGCCTTGTAGGCCTTTTCGCTTCATCCCTTCGTAGCACCCTATAAAGGAGTTCAAGAATTATTTTATGAATCTGGACTATTGTCATTTTCTCTTCTTAACAGAATAAGCCTTCGCTTCCCTAAATTTAACCACAACTGTTGACGTGGGAGCAAGTCCTCTCTTCAGAAATACCTTTCGTACGCCTTTGCAGACTCTAAAACCATCTGGTCAAACGGGATCCAGCCTTGGCCTGTTGCTTCAACCGCCTTTGTAGCATCGACCTTGAACCCGCCATTGGGAATACTGTAGTCTTGTAGGTATCCCTTTCCTGGTTCGCCCTTTCCAATGATTCCCTGTCGATCGGGATAAGCCTTTCGCAACAAGTCGCGATAAGCCTGGATGTTTCCAAAGTTGCCATTCCCTCCAGCTATGTACCGCTGCCCATCGGCCACTTCTTTCTTATCGACGGCAAACACAATGAGTCGTGCAACATCGCGCACGTCAACATGCGTTCCATTGCCAGGTCCGGCAGACGACATTTTCTCCCCGTTCATGATGCGATAAGGAACAATGGCGGTCTCACTCAACTTCTCCGGGTCTTCAGGCAGAATCAGTGGCGGCCCAGCCACCCAGACCGGATTGACAGCTGTCATTGTGAAATTGATACGGTCTTTGTTCTTTTGTCGAAACTCCCAGAATGCGCGCTCTGCTTTGACCTTGCTTGCGACATAGATCTGGTGGCCAGTCACATCTGCGCCAGCCTTCGCGATCGCATCCTCGATTTGGTCATTCCAGTCTTCTTCCGTGTAACCCTTCTCTGGGTACTTCGGTTTACAGCCTCTGACAGCCACGATAGAGGACACATACACAAACGACTTGACGGCAGGCTCTTTGGCAGCGGACTCTAAAATTCCGAGAGTGCCTTGCAGCGAGGAACCGATGACGTAGTCGATATTGGTGTTGCTGAAGTCAACTGGCGCCGCGACGTGAGCTATTGCCGTAGTATTCTTTACAGCCTCATCGAAGGCTCCCCTGGCCATGAGATCGGGAACCAGAATTCTCGTAAGTTGGCCAGAGGAAGCGTATGACGGGAGTGCTGAGAGGAGGCTAGAAGCCGAGGATTGACTTCGCACTGCAGCGCGGACAGAATAGTTGGCGGTAAGGAAAGCTTCAACGGTACGTGCGCCGATGAAACCATTTGCGCCCGTGACAAGAACGAGACCTTTTGTTGTTGACATATTGAGTATGAATGGTTTCGTGATCTTTGGAAGGATCTGTAGAGGAAAATAAAAAAGATGAGCCGATTCTAAACACTGTCTGTCTTTTGAGTCAAAATGTTCGAGCCTTATCTTAGTGAAGTTTTAGTCTGGCGACATGGCCCGGGCTTAGAAGTTATCTGCGATGGATGTTTGGGTGTAAACCGCCTGGAGATTAGTGTTATCGCCGATTCTTAGCTGCTGCCACAGTGACATTTCAGAGGCCTGGCCACTAATCTGGAGGACATTTGTCGATCGTGGATCCACTTGTAGGGCAGAGCTGCCGCGTACATAGATGGCCCGAGAGAATGATAGCTATCTCCGGACCGGTGAAATTGCTCAAGATACTTTCATCTTTTGATGAGTTGGTGCTTCGGATGGAGAGCTCGGAGGGAGACTCGGGCAGCTTTGCGAAGCACATCCATTGTATTAGTGGAAGGAAAGCTGATGCGGTAGGGCATTCAGCGGCTGGCGCCCCACTCCCTCCGAGGGCTCATTCACGACAGCTCTGTGCGACACATAATTAACTGTGAAAATCGCACAATCTCAGTCTCCGAAATCAGACCAAGAATGTGTTTTTTGAGCAATCATATAGCCTGGGCCTTCCGAAAACTCGTCCAGCGGTGCCTACTGTAGGCAGCAATGCATGGACCCGATTCAAGGCTGACAGGCTCAGCCCCAGCTCAGCCCCCGCTCTTTGGCTCTTGAATGAGATTTGAACCGTGAAATCGCCAACAAGCAGACAAACAAACAAACACAAGCAACAAACATGTCTTCACCTCAAGACGACTCTGAATTTTCGCCCCATGAGTCCCGCATCATCGGCGCGTTGCTGGGTGTCCATGCCGGCGACTCGCTTGGCGCAACGCTTGAGTTCAAAACTCATACGGATATCGCCCGGGAATACCCTCTCGGTCTTCGTGACATCGTTGGCGGAGGCCCATTTCGGTGGTCGCAAGGTCATGCAACAGATGACACTGATATGACTCGCGGCGTCCTCCTTGCATATCATGACTATATAGACGGCGACGACATCGCGCAGCTCGCTGGCGACTACTTCATCAGTTGGCTTCACGGCGACTGGCCAGACAGGCGCCCGGGAAGTCGGCCTGAGGATATTGGAGGGGCCACTGCTACTGGGCTCAGACGTTATAAGCAGACGCAAGATCCTGACCGCGCCGGAGCTGGCCAAGGTAGTGCAGGGAATGGAAGCTTGATGCGCTGTATCCCGACTGGCTTGTTCCAACGCGATCCCCAGAAGTTGATTGAGGAAAGCATTCGTATCAGCAAGATCACCCACGACGATAAGAGATGCACGGTCGCGTGCGCGGCTTACAACACGATTGTTTCCAAGCTCATCGACCAAGTCGCTCCCCAAGACGCCATTGAGGCAGGTCTCAATGTCGCCGAAACTCTTGAAGGAGGCTCTGGCCCAGTATACGAAGCGATTGAACTCGGCAAATCTCTCAACATAGCAACAATGGCTAGCAAGGGACCAGCACCCGAGCTTGGGGGGAGATGCAGTGGATACGTCCTCGAGTCACTCAGTCTCGCAATAGCTGCCGTTCTTGACACTCGCAGCTTGGAGGACGTTGTCGTGGATGTTGTTCGAATTGGCTGGGATACAGACACAAACGCAGCGATCGCAGGAGGAATATTGGGAGCTAGAGATGGAGCATCAGCTATCCCTCCCCAATGGAAATCAGTCTTGCAATTTGGGCGTGAGTTTGAAAATACGGCTTTGAGTATTTTCGAGAAGACTGCAGCCTAGGAGCCCAGTCCTTTCGAGTACATCAGTTACCACCAACGTCCGGTCCAGCATAGGTTCATCAAACAGTAGAGGGCTGAGGCCTCATGAATAAGTTAATGCGATGTTGAGAAATGATATTTGGTCACTAGAACGTACAGCGGGTCGGTCATGACCTTGAAAGGTCGACATCTGAGAGCGCTCGAGTCCCAGCAGGACTGGAAGTTGGGAACAGGCAAGCCTTGTCGCCCCGCACTCCCATATCACAGTATTTCCATTTGGTCAGCTTTGACGCAGCTTCGTGACCCCATCGAGTGATAATCAGGGTTGACAACGTGGATGTGCGCAGCCGGTACTAGCCAGGGAATGTTGGCGATCTCGGGGAGCAAGCAAGCATCGGCCCTTGATACAAGGTGTCAACACAAACTTAGCAAAGGGTATCCTATATTTACCTAAACTTATACCGAGTTACCTAAGTTTTATAACAAACTACTAAAATCTCCTTAAGTTACCTAAAGCCGAAAGACTTCATCATCGAGGAAGGCATCCAGGTTACCCAAGCCTGAAGAGACCATATTTGCAAATTGGCCCCAGCCCGAGAAATCGACTCCAGACATGCCATTAAAGTCCAACCCGCCGTTCTCGCCCATTAAGTCTGTATAAGAAGTCTTGTCGCTCGGCGTATCCATCGGTATGACATTGGACTGGAAAGCGTTGTCTTGTGCATGTCCATCCAGGAATACGTTTGGATGCATCCGATTCACTTGGCGTAAGGCCTCAACCCGTAATTCCTCCAACAGGAAACAGTATCGTTCTGACAAGGAGCCTTTCTCAACCATGGTTGACATGTGTGATTGGCATCGAGCTGCAGCTGTAAAGTATTCGCTGTAAGTCTCAGGAGGTGACGCCCATTTCTGTATCACATAGATATATAGAACCATGGCTGCAGTGAAGGCAAAATATGCAGTGACCTAATAGTATAAATCAGTTGAGGTTCCGGAAGAAGAATTGGATGTACTGTGATAAGGCTGAGAGGTTAAAAGAAGCCCCAACCCCGAGGACACATATGTGAAGAACACCAATAGCCACATACGGGCAATATACTCATTACTCTCACTGTTATCTGAGCCTTGTTTTTGGGTGAAGAGCTAGATATCCTGGAATTGGTTGTACTCACCCAGAATGCTCTGAACATTTGTCCGTTGTCGGTCATCTCATCGATCAGACCGACTGTTTGGATGGCAGCTTCGAGGCATCTTTGCACACTCTCTTGAGTTGCAGCATCGTTCTCACTGCCTCTTCTATTCTGACGTGATATCCTTGCAAAATTGTTGAGAACAGCTTGTCTATGCGTGAGTATTATAGCATGCCAATAAGTTAGATTCAGGACATTTCGTTGCCGTTGAACGATTGGAACGAGAAACGATGTACTGAAGTAGTCGGCATCGAGAAACTGAGAGAACTCAGCTCGCCAATCTGCGAGGGCCTTTGAAACGAGTTGGGTTTCCTCTAAGCGTTTGGAGATCGAAATTGGCTTCACTGAATAAAGACCACGCAGGATCTGGCCTATGATCCGAGCAAGCCTAGGTGACGAGTCAGTATGCTTCTTACAGGTTAAATTGAGACGAGCCATTACTTCATATGCCCAAGTGGAGCAAGCATAACCGAGTAGCCTTTCGTTGACCCAGCAAGGTTTATGTGATCCTTAGTTATGTCACTATCGTCAACACAAGCTGGAAGTTCAGTGTCGATATCGTCATCGTGAAAGTTGCGTGGTCTACCTAAAGATACACTAAGATATGCATCAAGAGTGTAGGCGCACCAAAAGGTTCTTCGCCGACTTTCGACTTCAATATGGTTCAGCCCGCTTATGACGCCAGGTCTCTTGTTTCGATTCAATCCGATAGCAAGAGCTAGGTTTGTGACGATGCCAAATTGACTCCAGCAGTGGTTGACCCGGGACTGGGTTCCAAGGTAGTAACACTGCAGAAGACGAGCCTGGACGCTGGTGAGTCGTATTGAGCCACTCTCTTTCGAGAGTTGATGCTCAGCTGCCAAGTAATACCTTGAGCTGTATCATGCGTCAGCATAAGCCATAAAGCCCTGTCACAGACGGGTACCCCACCTGAGGTCTGATGGTCCTGGTCTGTCGTTCTCAGGCATGTATACTCTAGCATGGGCTAAGATCATGAAGAGTAAAGCCACTTTTGCAGCGGAATTATTTGGGTCACGCATAGTCCCCAACGTCTCATAGAACTCTGAGAACCATTCTTGAATCGTGGGTCGGTGAAGAAAACGGTATGTTGGCATGGCAAAGTCGAAGTAACGATCCACCAAGCGCTGGGCATCCTCTTTGGGAAGCATCATGCAAAAGTTTGGATCATAGTCAGGGTTTTGAAGAGGGGCATCACCAAAAGTGAAGATACTTCCTGGCCCGGAGAACGAGATCGCTTGATGCATTCGCCTCTGAACCCTGAGAAGGAATGACACGCCCGAGGCCGGACCGATGTAGTGGCCCTGAAGATCCTCCTGAGACGGCTCAGGGGACTGCTGCACCGACGTTACAGCCCGTGAGCCCGAGCCTGTGCCGCTCTGCTCCATAAGATGAGATGGCATGCCATAGTCCTGCAACTCTACACTCTGGCTGGTTGCATTTGCCATGTACTGCTGCGCCAAATCGGTAGGGCTGGTGTCCTCACTCCGAGTCATTGTATCTTGGGCCGACACAGTTATGCTTTCATCCCCTACCTCATCCGCTGACGGTATTACCGGCAAACGACCTCTTGCATAAGCCGAGTCAAAAGTGCACGAAACCCTTGTCCGGGTACAGAACTTGCACGGCTGCATGCCATTGCATTTGATCTTCCGCCTACGGAGTACGCAGATTAGCTCATGGTCGATCTACGCGAATAATTGCCCAGGGTCGAGTTACTTCTTGCATCCATCGCACGCCCTGGTCACTCTGACCCTCTCAGTGTTCTTTTTCCGCTTCTTCGCTACATGTATGCTGTTGGTATCTTCTGACGGTGTTGGGAGCATGGATGAAGCCATTGGAGCCACGTCTATCCACTCGTCCAGAGATAATCTTGTGTATGGGGTGAAACTGACTGAGGCTGTACCGAACGGAAAAGAGAGGATGAAACTGAGTAAAGATTGGACGGAAAAGCGAATCCGGGGATGAGACATGGATAATTGTCCTCATGAGAACCCCGCAACCTATGTCACGTGTGTCCTAGAGGAAAGAAAAGACAAGACCTGATCCTAAATGACAGAAAGATTGAGGTAAATTGATATAAGACTCAGTAACTTGGTGTAAGTTCAGGATACCTTTTGCTAAGTTATTTTGACAACCTATGTCAAGGTCTGATGCTTTCTTGCTCCCCGAACCCTTCATCGGTGGCATTCCCGAGGCATCATACCCGGTGACAAATCCGATGGAGATCCTGGTTGGAGCGGATGAGGGGTACCTCACGTTAGCTTCCACGCTCATCCTTACCATTCCCCGAGTCGAATAAAGTCAACTTATCATCTGGAGTTAGCAGACATCGAATTGTGTTTACCACGTTCCCAACACATCAGACCTCCCAAAATGGCATCAGCTGTCTCAAAGCGCCTTGAGGGCAAGACAATTCTCATCACCGGAGCATCTTCCGGCATCGGAAAGGCCACAGCTTTTGAGTTCGCCCGCACCAGCCCCAAGAACCTCAAGTTGGTCTTGACAGCACGACGGATTGACAATCTTCGTCAGATCGCCGAAGATATCGTCAAGGAAGTTGGCGATGGCGTCAAGGTGCACCCCGTCCAGCTCGACGTCAGCAAGCCTGAAGAGGTGCGGTCTTTCGTGAGCAAATTGCCCGCAGAGTTTAGGGAGATCGATGTCTTGGTTAATAATGCGTGAGTTCCTTTAACATACAGATTCAAAATGTGACTAGCTGACTTCTTGCAGCGGTCTTGTCAAGGGCGTTGATAAGGCTCCGGAGATCAAGGAGGAAGACATCAACGTCATGTTCGCTACCAATGTCACAGGCTTGATCAACATGACACAAGCCATCCTCCCTATCATGCTGAAGCGCAACAACGGTGAGGGAGCTGGTGACATCATCAACATTGGCTCCATCGCAGGTCGTGAGCCATACATTGGCGGTAGCATCTACTGTGCAACTAAGGCTGCTATCCACTCCTTCACTGAGAGTCTGCGCAAGGAGCTCATCTCAAAACGCATCAGAGTCATCAGAATCGATCCTGGCCAGGTGGAGACCGAGTTCTCGGTAGTCAGATTTTACGGGAACAAGGAAAAGGCCGATGCAGTCTATGCGTAAGTTTTCACCTCTCCAGATCGTCATGTTTAATAAGGTTATGGGGTCGCTTCAGTCCCATCAAATCCCATATTTCTTATGAGCAATGAACTAACCAGCGATAGTGGCTGTGAGCCTTTGACACCAGATGATATTGCTGAAGCGATTGTATTTGCTGCTGGCAGAAGGGAGAATGTAGTCATTGCTGATACCTTGATATTCCCCAACCACCAGGCTGCGGCTACGATCATGCACAGAAAGAGCTAGGAGCTACGTATCATAGATCAACCAAGACACGAATACAAATAGACATTCTCAAGGTATAATTCGCCCGTGATTCTTTTGGCAATTGGCGATTTTCAAGGCTCGTACCATAACCTTTAATTATTTTGCACGATTGCAAAGTATTGCATCAAGCAGAAGAGGAGTGATGAAGACCAGTCGCCTAGGCCGTTACTCTCTGTTGCTTTACTCGCCGCTTTCGACAACTGAAGTAGTCACTAGCATCTTCCAAGTGGCCAGTCGGATCTGGAGACACAGCCAGCCGTTCGTCGTTAGACAACTTAGTCGTAAGAACTATGCAGGATGACCGACTACCTTATCTCTGCATGCATTGAACCTAATCTAGAGCCGTCACGTATCCGCCTTCCACCCGCATCCTCATGCTTTTCTCGGCAATTCTAATACTCGGGTTCGGGTATTTTTCGTCGTAGAACCAGGTCCAGACCGAGTCAAGTGCAGTCAGAGTAGCGTTGCATTCGCCCAACGCTATGCGGGGGATCGGCAATGCTCACTCTCGCTTGTCGGAAAAAGACATTCCCAACCACCTCGTAGTCAGCTTTTCCGCAATAGCTCCTAAGCCCCATGACTCGAGACGGCGTAGCATGAGCATATTGTATTCCCGTCCTTATTTATCCAGGGTTGGATCTGGATAAACAGCCATGATCCGCTGACCACTGCACTTATTCAAGACTCCGCAGGCGACCTGGCGAATGAAAGCCGGTGAAACCTGTGTCTCTCACCCGTGAGTGAGTGGAGACCACGGATTCATATCATGGTCACCCAGAGGCCAGAGCAAAACGGAAGAAAGATATTGAGGCAAATGTCCATCTAAGCCACAGCCCCGAGGCTTTAAGTACTTGTAATCTTTCAAAATCACATTTCTAGTCTACGTTTACCATACACAATACAATACACAGCACTCAAACACCTTTCGTAGAGTCGATTGCATAGTCATCATGTCTTTCTATAGAGCTCCACCAAGCGGCGTCTGGGCACCAGCGATCACATTTTTCGACCATGAGAGAGATACACTAGATACCGATTCACAAGCGGCATATTACTCCTATCTCTCTAAAACCGGTCTTACAGGCCTGGTCGTGCTCGGAACAAATGCCGAGACCTTCCTGTTGACGCGCGAAGAGCGCAAGGCTCTATTGCAAACAGCACGCCAAGCATGCGGGCCATCTTTCCCTATCATGGCTGGTGTTGGTGGACACTCAACCAAGCAGGTCTTGGAGTTTATCAGCGACGCAGCTGATGCCGGAGCAAACTATGTGTTGCTTCTTCCCCCCGCTTACTTTGGCAAGCAGACAACACCAGAGGTCATTAACAACTTCTTTGATGATGTTGCTAAGAAAAGTCAACTACCTATCGTCATCTACAACTTCCCCGTTGTCTGCAACGGCATCGACCTGGATTCTGCCACCATTGCTGCTTTGGCGAAAAAACACAGCAACATTGTCGGTGTCAAGCTGACCTGCGGAGCTGTCGCAAAGATAACGCGGCTTTCGGCAGAGCTTCCTGGGGAGCGATTTGCAATCTACGGTGGCCAATCCGACTTCTTGATAGGAGGCCTCGCTGCTGGCTCTCACGGCACCATTGCTGGTTTCGCCAACGTTGTCCCCAAGACAATCGTGCATATCTATAACCTCTACCAAGAAGGCAAGTTCCAAGAAGCCATGGCTCTTCACAAGAAGGCGGCACTGGCTGAGCAGCCCTGCAAGGCTGGGATTGCGTCAGTCAAGTATGCGGCAACTTTGAGCACAGCCAAGGCCGCTGGGATCAATGGCGCTGCAGAGAAGCTGAAGCCCAGAAGGCCATACGTGGAGCCTACAGAGGCTGCGAAGAAAAGTATTGAGTCGCAAATCTCTGAAATGTTGGAGATTGAGGCCACGCTCAAGCTACCGGCTGAGAAGGGCAAGTCAAACGGTGTAACGAATGGCGTATCCAATGGGATCATGAATGGAACATCGAATGGCGTGGCGGTGCATTGAAGCACCTATGTACGAGACAAATAGCGTTTTTATTATACGATGAAATGTTGATACAATAAAATCGGCAAAAGACTAGCAATATGCGTGTTCTCTCATTATCTCAAAGATGGTGATGTTTTTCAGTAGGTTCTGTAGTTTAGTTTGGTGGGGGTCTGGTATGGTGCCTACAGGGTGCTGCCACAGTGGCCTAGGTGCCTATGAGGTGCCCTAGCGTGGCACGGTGCCGGCCTGGTGCCAAAGCCTAATTGAGGTGCCTTCGAGGTGCCAAGGTGCCAAAAGTCGTCGCACAGCCGCAATGACTCCTGTATTTCAACCAATTTGACCGTACTCCAAGCGCCAAACGGCAGAATGATGTTGCGAGAATAGTATTGGTTAGCTTAAAAATAAATATTTCATTTTTAGTGACATCTCATCTCTGTATTTTCGTATTTATCTAAGCTTGAGCTATTGGCATTAGCGCGTGCGCGCTGAAAACCATTAGCGGCTTCAGCGCCTTGATCTGCCAGCTCACAGGGGCAGCGGGTTCGCTAGCCTGTTCGATAGCACAAATTCAATCGCATCAGTTTCACCTAAAAGAATTCCAATGCCTCAATCAAATCAGCATCTTTGGGTGATAAGTCACTTACTTAAAAACTCTTTTGGGACCTTTAAAAGTGCATTTCCCCCCATCTTTACTACTTCAGCCATACAAACATCCCATGCATGATCATCCGCGCTCTAGGGTCGACGATCAGCGCCACCAATTTATCGGCAAAAAGAAAACAAAGTCAGGATGGGAGTCTTGGTAAGGGAAAAGGGTAGCATTATAGCCTCTTGCATTTCCCAGTTCTCTCCAAGTCGTAATATTAACTGTCTCTCATTTTGTGACTCGCCAAAGTCTTTCGCTTTCTAAACATGGTTGCGTCGCCATTCCTCGCCGTCGCGTTGGCGGTTTTGGCCATTCGCAGCGTTAATGCTGGGCCGTGCCGTCCCTCATCCGTCTCAACCACTGAGGGCTCTATGTCAAGCAGCCCAGAAACCACGCTTGCTTTTACCACCACTGCTGAGCTTTCTGTCACTGCAACGCAAACGGCAACTTCTTCTGATGCTGTCTCTTTATCTGAGACTTTGGTCGATGCCACCACGACTACCCAAGCCGTTCAAGACACCACCACAACAACAGCCGACGAGACTACACCCGCCACTGAGCCTCCTGCCACCACAACTGGAGCAGCCTCTGTCTCCGACGATTCTTCAACTTCTGTGACTCTGAGCGATGACACCACGACCCTCCTTGCCACCACTACGACTACTCAGGCTGTCGAAGACACCACGACGATAACCCCAGCTACGACAACTACCACTACAGCTGCTGGGCCGGACGAGTGCCCTCTGAACGCCGAATGCGAGGCTATATACGGCTTGGCCAAGCCCATTTGCGATGTCGGCACTTGCGTCCCAGACAACAACCAGCCCGCCCCATGCACCGATGACACCGAATGTACTACCCCCGGTGAATTCTGCTCGGACTCTGGTTTCTGTCAAGTCCCATCAGAGCCCTGTATTGACGAAACCGACTGTCTACTTTCTCTCAACCCTATTTGTGTTCTAGGACTCTGCGACTGCCCCACATCGACAGGTGTATGCACACCACGGTCTGAGCTGCAACTCTGCCAGTCAAATGCTGGGTGTTCTGCTGGCGCTACCTGCCAGCAGGGTATCTGTGTTGATCCGATTAGCTGCGGTAGTCCTTCTGATTGCGATAACAACTTGGATGTGTGTGTTTTGCCTGGCGTTTGTGCCTGCCAGAATGGTGTATGCGTCATTAGTGTTTAGTGTAGACGACACTGTTCCATGCGGTCTAAGCATGGCAGGCGTATGGCAATTGAGAGGCTTCCTTATCTTGATCTGAATATAGCGCCCATTTGTATGCTTCATAATATCATAATAGAACTATGCTTTCCGCCCCTGGTTCTGAAACGCTCACAAAATGCGAGTGACTCTAACCATCCTCACTAGTACCCCGTATTCACTTAACAGTCCATCCAAACAGTCCCAAGTCTAGAGCACATGCTTGAACAGAGGCGATCTGTCTCCCATGTCAAACAGTTCCTCTTCAGTGTACTTCCTCTTAGCTTCCTCAGCAATCTTGGCCTTGCGAGCGTTGGCAATCTTGTAGCTCCACTCCAGGAGAAGGGCAACGATCAGACCAGTACCTCCGAAAGCAAGCGACAAACCAAATCCAGTGTAGTACCTAGGCTTCTCCTTCTCCAGGTACATGAAGCTACCGACGATACCACCGACGTTGCCGACGCAGTTCATCAGGGCGATACCAATAGCTCGTCGTGATGAGGGAGCGATGTTGTTGGCGTTCCATGACGCAGCAGCGGCTTGAATGGGGTAAATACCGATAACAGCAAGAACCACAGCGAAGTAGGCCACTCCCTTCTTAGCTTCGAGTTCGCCATTCAGAGAAATCATGATCGAGTAGGCGACTGTAACGATGATCATGGGGATGGCGACGAAGGGCATGCGCCAGAAGAATCGGTCAGAGATCTTGGCGAAAACTATGGCAGAAATGGCAGCAGCAACGTAAGGAGGAGCTGAAGTGAGCTGAGCGTTCGTGTTGCTGAATCCCATCGCTTTGGTGATGGTTGGTAGGGTAAACTTGGTACCGTAAGAGAGAGCAGACTGGCACAGAAGGAAGTAAGCCTGGACATAGACTCTCCAGTTTGTGAGCACCATCCGAAGATCTTTCCATGACACTTTTCTCTCGTCTTCTCCGGAGTAACCGCCGCCTTGCTTGATGAACATCGAGAGCTCGAGAAATCGAATTTCCTCAGGACTTAACCATTTTGAAGACAGAGCGGGAGTGTCAATTAGGAAAAATAAGCATGCAACACCGAGAACGACTGTAGCCATGCCTTCCAGAAGGAAAATCCATCTCCATCCCTCCATACCGCCAACACCGTCCATCTCAGCGATACCAGCTGCGAGGAGACCTGAGAAGGCACCAGATAAGGCACTTGCACAGTAGAAATATGACACCCTCGTTGACAGGTCCTTGGGAAGGTACCAGTAACTATGGAACTGTTAAAAAGATCTTCGTTGCACGATATCTGGTTGTTGAGCTTACCTGCAAAGGTAGATAGCGCCGGGGAAGAAACCAGCCCTGAGTTGCAATGTTAGCCCCAATCTGTAAGACGGGACTAAGAGTCAACAGATATAGACTTACTCAAAGATACCAAGAAGAACACGAGTCGCCATGAGACCACCGAAGTTTTGAACAAGTCCAGTGCAAGTCATGACGATACCCCAGCAGACACAGAGCATACCAAGATAGACCGACGGGCGCTTGAACTTCTTCAGAAGAATGTTGCTAGGGACTTCAAGAAGGACATAAGGTACGAAAACTTGTTAAAGTTAGCCCACAGTGAGGGAAAGAGCGAGTGTTGGTGTGACTTACAGATTGACAGAATGGTGTTGTACTGAACACCTGTGGTAAGATGTTAACAGATTTCCTCATCACAACACAACAAAAAGACACACCTGTCATTCCCAGATCCTCGACCATTCCCTCAATCTTCGCATTGCCGATATTGGCGCGGTCTATGTGCGCAGCAAGATAGAGAAGGGCGAGCATTGGCACGAGTCGAACATCAACCTTGCGGAAGACCTTCTTCTTCTGCTCCTCTGTATAACTGTTGTAGAAGTCGGCATCTTCAGGTCTCAAACCAAAGACACGAAAACCGGCAATCTCGATGGCTTCGGAGGTGTTTTCGAGATGGTCTGGCTTATGGTCGCCAACCTCAATGTCGCTCTTGGAGATTGAACTTCGAGGAGCCATGATGAAGATGTTGGTACTCCAGGACAGACTTGTGACTGAGAGCTTATTCCGGCAGACAAAACGTAGCTACTCTAGGACTTCAAGCAAGAGTCTCAATGCTGAATGACCGAGCCTTGGAAGTGTTGAGGCAGGCTGGGTATTATAGTCGAGACGACGATCGGGGAAAGCGAAGGAGGTCATTGTAGAGATTAGCTCAAGCGGGTGCCCCATATTTCCCCAGACGAAAACCAGTGTAACCCCAGACTTGGCGACACCCAAAGCGGAGTGTCCATGTTTGCCAAGTGCGGGGTATCATCTCTGATGGTCTCATTGTACGGAAAATATCACCCCCAACGCCCAACGCCTTCTGCTGGGGGATCAGTAGAAGCGCTAATTAGCGGAAAAGCACTGAGTAAAGCGCTTATCCGTGGTGGATCTGTGACCAGCCACATCAAACGTTCAAGGAAACATGTCCGATGTGATTTATCCTCTTGATACGGATATGATTACAACTCATGGAGCACTACACCAAGTAATCACGCATGATACCCGTGATGGTTACTCAAAGGAAGCGATTTTTACCCCGCAAACAACAATGACATGACAACTCAACCATGCACAACCCCGGGATAAATAGTCCACCACTCAAACAATGTAATTCCAATCGGTAGACTCAACAATCACAGAATACACACTTAAGCACAATCATGGCTCAACGAAGCATCATCAAAGACATTGTCATCACACCTGTGGCCTTCCATGATATGCCCCTGCTGAACTGCGTGGGTGTACATGAGCCATATGCTTTGCGCAGCATCATTGAGATCATCACAGAAGACTCGTATGGACTTGGTGAATCATATGGAGATTCAGCACATCTGGGCCGTTTGCAAAAAGCAGCAGACAAGATCAAGGGTCTCTCTATCTACAGCACAAACATCATCTATCAGAAATGTGTTGAGTCACTGGAGACAGATACCAATACTGGTGGGGATGGCATGGGAGGCATGGTGACTACAGCGTCAGTCGCTGACAAGGTCTTCTCGCCGTTCGAAGTCGCATGTCTTGACTTACAAGGCAAACTGGCTGGGATATCTGTCAGTGGCCTTCTCGGTGGACGGGTGAGAGACCAAGTCCAATACTCAGCCTACCTCTTCTACAAATGGGGAGGACACCCTGGCCACGACGATGATGAGTACGGCCCTGCGCTAGACCCTCAAGGAGTGGTGAAGCAAGCCAAGAAAATCATTGACGAGTATGGCTTCAAGGCCATCAAGCTTAAGGGGGGTGTCTTCCCTCCTGCAGAGGAAGTTGCCGCGATCAAAGCTCTACATGAAGCCTTCCCTGATCTCCCACTGAGACTCGATCCAAACGCTGCTTGGACGGTCGAGACTTCAAAGTGGGTCGCAAAAGAGCTTGATGGTATTGTTGAGTACTTGGAAGATCCGGCTGGTGAGATCGAGGGAATGGCTGCTGTTGCCAAAGAGGCATCGATGCCCCTAGCCACCAACATGGCAGTCGTTGCTTTCGATCATCTCCCACCTTCAATTCTCCAAAACGCCGTACAAGTCATCTTGTCTGATCATCACTTCTGGGGAGGCCTTCGTAAGTCACAAACATTAGCATCCATCTGTGCAACTTGGGGTCTGCGACTCTCAATGCATTCCAACAGCCACCTGGGCATCTCACTCGCCGCCATGACACATCTTGCTTCTGCAACACCAAATCTGGATTATGCTTGCGACACTCACTGGCCTTGGAAGCGCCGAGATGAAGACGTTGTTGTTGACGGCGCGTTGAAGTGGAAGGATGGTGGTGTTGTAGTGCCGACTCTACCAGGTCTAGGTGTCGAGCTTGATAGAGAGAGGTTGGCAAAGCTTCATCAGCAGTACCTGGACTGTGGGTTGAAGAAGCGTGATGATACTACATACATGAAGAGGTTTCAACCAGATTTCTCGGAGAAGATCCCTCGGTGGTAAATGCTGCACGATTTTCGCCGGGTTCGAGCAGAACTGTCATACTACGACTTCCATTTATACAATAGTTTCTTCAATTTCTTAAATTCTATACTGCAGTGTCTACAGTATAGCTATCATAACCTCCAAACTGGTCTCTCACTACGAGGAAAACCATCATTGAGTCATATTCTCGCAGCAGAGGTCAATTTATATTCAGTGCTATTCCTACCAGGCTTTCCTTCTCCACTGTGTCTGACTTTGTCGAATGAACCACAACTCTTAGTTTGACTGCGACCAACAGAACGTATTCCGAGAAGAATTAGTCTTTTTCAATCTGTCCGATGGTCTGCAACATCTCCTTCAAATCCTTCAGTTCTTCTTTGAAGACTGTGACCTTGATCTTGTCTCCCTCATCTTCCTATCCATAGTTTGGTGTCCCATCAGCCTTTTTCCCGTAGATCCATTCAAGACCATCAGAAAACCTCTCATTGGTGATGATCAGGTGTTTAGAGATATAGTGCGTCCATGTGGGAACATTTTTTGGGTTGAAGGCGCCCATCACGTGTATGATCTTGGTGTTGGCTAATGACTAACTACTTGACTCTTCTGGCAGAATTAGAATTGGCTGATTTGCCCCTTCCGTTCTTATACGTGCCTATGTGTTGCAAAAGACCAAGGATTTGAGTTCGATAAAAGTTTTCGACCATTATATATCTGAAGAAACTCTGTGAATCAGAGAACATGTGCTTTCAGACGCCCTAGATGTAGTGTTGGACATAGAAACTGCGCCTGAATCATCGTTCGGTCATTCGGTTCCAGTTCCATGGGACAGAGGTCATTTGTGAAGTTTTTCGACCATAGAAAGGTGAAAAGGTCTCAACACAACCAAATATCCAGATCGTCAACTCATCACAGACGAGATCAGTACTCATGATCATGGTTTGTAGGTTTGACGAAGCTAACATTTTTGGTGTCATGGGACTGTTTTTGTGGAACGTAATGATAAAAAACAACGCCTATTTACGATCGTTTGTGGTCTGCAACATGAATAT